GAAGAGGAGTCGAAACAGAAAGACAGACAGATAAAGATACTGGAAACATTTTGTCTTCTTTCAGCGTCGCAGGAAAGCGTTGGTCAGTTTCACCTCTTAGTGGATTTTTTAAGAGCAGACAACCAAAAATGCAATCCTGCCCTATGAGTCATATTGCGGTTTTATTACCAAGGCAAGTTCTTTCTGTGTGTTTTGTTTAAGTGTTTTTAGGGATGTGCTGTTTGTAAATATGTCCTGTTAGGTTGAGAGGGTAGAATCAGGTGGAGTCAAAAGACTTAACCTAAATGTAAACTAAGCCAATGCATTCAGATTCATGATATGGAGCTGTTTCACTTACCAAAAGATATTTATCGTCTTAGAACAACAATTTGAAAGTTGGAAAAAGTAAACTTTAAAGGTCAACCTGTTGGCTTTTTCCCATCATCATTGCTGTGCACATTTATGAAGCATTTCTCCTCTGATTCTTAAATGATCTGTTTTTTTGGAATGCTATTGAATTTATCTTCTTATTTCGATCAGAGCAGCAGCCACGTTTGCGCCCATCCAGCAGGTCCTGTAATACCTGTTAGAATCAGCAGCAGTAACTGCAAACGTTTGTCAATGTGCATTCAGCTTGCTGTGCCTCACCTTGTCTGTGTGTGGTTGATAGTCCTGTTAGTCCTGACTCAGTTCTTCTAATGCCTATCAGGGTCATTGTAAATATTTAAACACGTATCATCTTAACTTCTTAGAAGCAATTGTGGTAACGGCTTCACTTAGAGTTGTAAGTCAGTTGGGCAATATCAGGTGATAGAGATGTATCTCTCTGCTGTCCCTTGTCTTCAGCAGAGCCATGCATGCTAATGCTTACAACGGCAGCAGATCCTCTCTTGTTATACACGATGCAGTCAGAGAAACTACCACTGCATGTGCTGCGTACAAATATTCCCAGCCAAAGACTTCTTGTGGATGTTCTTTTCTTAGTCAGACAACAAGGTCACTATAATGCAGATTGGTGACCACGGGAAAACATGCAATTCAGGAACCAACCTAATGCAGGACTCTGCACTGAAAACTCATGCATCATGGAAATATAACAGCTTCAATTCATGAATAATACAATTAAATTTACCCCAGACAAAGGCTGATGAAAAATAAATAAACACCCATTCCTGTTAAGGAAACTGCATAGTTTTTAGGTCAGGCAAGAGTTTTCGAGAAATAATAATGTGATGGGATCACATATTTCTTGTCCAATGTTTTAACCATGTTTCTGAAGACCTCTTGCTCCCATCTTTGGCCAAAAATACTATTATATATGCTGCTATATAAAATGTTATTGCATTTTAGTGTGTCACTCACTGCAGGGTGCCGTTATGGTTGTCTGGGTTAGCGCTTTACACAGATGGGGTTTTAGTGAGTCGGATTTAGTATTAGCTTTGGCCTTCATGCATTCATTATTTCTGCTAGTGAGAAATATTTCTTGCACATCCTGGTCATTTTGGCCTTTGGAAGAATTCTGATGTAGTTTTATCTGTAAGCTGAGGGTTAGCTGTCTAGATGTACACATTAGAGGTTGGGCTGCATTTGGAAAGAGTTTTGCAGAGTTTTTGTTTAGTTTGGATTTGTTGTTGTTAGAGGACAGAATGTTACTAAATGGACCAGTAGATATAGAGTTAAAACTATTTATAGACTGCCGCTCCTCATGTAAGTGTTTTTCCTCCCGATGAGTGTAAATAGCAGTGTGATGATTGAACATATAAATGTCACAGGATTAATGTTCTTACTGCCTTCTGGTCGATTGCAGCTTCTTGTCTTTGTGGAAAAACAGCATTACTTAATTGACTTTTGTTTAATGGTCACTGGCAAAAACTTTGAATCGTAATATTCACATTGTTAAGTCATGGGACAAAAGTTGGTGTTAAAAAAGAGACTGAATATCATCAGAATATTGATATCGGATACACTACATGCATACCTTAAGTGAAATGCCTTGATGATTAAAAAATAAAATCAAGTATGCTGTACTGACAAATATCTTCCTGTTGTGTTGACTGTCCCGTCTGAAAGAGGCAAAGTGATTTCTTTATTTTCCAATTTGAGTGCTGCAGCAGTCTTGGTCCCACCCCATATGGTCTTACTGGTTGAGACAGGTCATGACAACAGCACTGATCAAAATTCCCACTCTCAGATGAATCATGGGTTTTCTATATGTTTATCCTGAGCCAGTGGTCAGCATTCGTTCGAAATTAACTTAAAGTCCAGGTAACTGTAATCAAGTCCTCAGTCCAGACTGCCTCTGTGCAGATGGTGCAGTAAATGTTCATGCTTCCTGTAGGCCTGTTTCTTCCTGTGAGAGCAGGCAGGGACTTCCTGTCTTCTGAAGCCAAAAGGGAAGAGACCATGTTACAGACCTCACTCCTTTACTTAGGTTAAGGGTTGGGCAAGATTGAATGGGTTTGTTAAAGTTATTTTTGTCAAATCACATTTTTATGAAGAATGGTGCAGGACCTTGGTGTAAGTATGCCCGTTTGGCCAACAGAACCAGAAACACAGTCAGAGTTCATCGTTTTGAAAGTTTTCTTTTGGTTTTGGTCTTCTCATCTCTCCAGGTTCCACTGTTCTCCACACAGGTAGACACGTCCACAGAGAGAAACACAAATTCTTGATAGTGTAATTCTTGTGGAGCATGAATAATGTCCTCGGTGGTGCTGGTCGATACTGGTGGTGCAATGGTGGAGTATATCACAGCAGAGGAGGAGCCTCAGCAGGTGGGCTGAACACAGACACAACAAAGTCACAATATCAACACATCAGGGCTGATAGTTTTTGGTAAAAACATATTATAATCACAACCCAAGTGACTCTTATAATATTATAGTCAAACCCTGATTTAAACTGAACATTTAACACTTACTCTTTGACTCATTAGAAACATTGCATTTATTGCAGGCAATATAGTAAATAATAATATAAAGTTTAATATACAAATATTGCCACTAAAAGTAATGAGTTTATGTATTAATTTGGACAACCTTAATATTAACCTTAACTGTACAACATAAATTTACATTAACAAAAGATTTTCTTTATAAATACACCTGTGGGTTTAGCCCCGAGAAAGGGTGAGTGTGTGCTTGCACATCATTCAGGATACAAGTATGGCAAACAATTGAAACTTTATTTTCCTTTTGTGATTATTTGGGAAGGGGGGGGGGGGGAGGGTCCGAATGTTTTAATTGCTTAGCCTTTCAAAATGTATAATAACAGGATCATGTTATACTTGATGTTTGCATTGTGACATTTTAAACCATTTTGTACCCAGAACCTAGACTGTGCCTAGACTGACACATGCTGCGACCTAACTCACTTCTCTGATAAATGGGTGTTCTTATCAGCAGGAGGTTGTGTGCGTGGAGGACCAAGAGATGGAAAGTGGAGAGGTTGAGGGGCAGTGCGAAGTTGAAGAGGCAACTGAGGACTACCCAGCAGTCATAGTGGAGGAAGTTCCTGGTGCCAATCTGGTCCAAGAGCAAAATTACGCAGCTCAGGTGTTGGTGCTGGACGACGAGACATACTTGATGCAGGAAGTGGGCGAAGTGCAGGAGGTGGTTACAGAAGGGGAAACAGGTGAGGTCCACCAATCACTTGTATTTAAAACTAAATTTGGTTTGATGTTAAAGTGTAAAAAAACCCCAAAACAAACAAACATAAAACGACATCACTTTGAAACAAATGAAATCAGACTATTAATCTACATAACTTAGTTTTAGGTTGAATCTGAAGGTTGTTCATTCACTTCACATATTATTTAATGATTAATTATTTTTACCTTAGTGCTGGGTGATTATAATAGTAATCTGGTCCTAAAGGCCTACACCAATGTGTCAACTGATAATTTTCTATTTTTGTTCACGTCAACCAAAGGACATCAAGTGCTAAGATGTAGGTCTGGTCAGACTTTTTTACACAGTTCTGCCTTGTTAACACATTTAGTTTCTTCTCTAAAGAGAGTAAAGAAAAGAAAATATCAACAGACCATTTTTTTAGCAATCGATAATGTCACATATTCCTAATTTATATGTAGTCAGCTGCTGACCTGAGCAGAATAATCTGTTCATCTTGATGGGGTCTTGTAGAGATGTAATGTAACACTTAACTCACAATACGATCCACAATTTTTTTTTGTTCACGATCGTTTTTTTTGAAACAATATGAGCCCCAGACAGATTATAATTAAGTACAATGATCTTTTAGTTGTTAGAACTATACAACATACCATTAGTTACTAAAATGACTTGCTTACCTCATAAACTATAATATTTTTAAACAACAGAGTACCAAAAAATAGACATTTCTTTAGACAAACCCATAACATCATCATTTATCTCCACTTATTAAAAGTAAAACTTGTCTGGTCTTATTTACCTTGCTAACTGTCAATATGCTAAAATATTAATTGTAAAGAGTTCCCTTCTTTATAGAAACATTGTTTGTATCTGTGGAAGAAGTTCTTCCCACATTTGAACACCTGAATGTCACTTAGGCTATGTAAGGACATGATGTCTTGGTTTAATAGTAAGTTATAGCCAATGTTTTTAGGTGCAAACTGCCACCTACTGTTCTAGAGTGTGCAGTCTCGTGGTATGACTAGTGACTTTTTGAGATACTGCAGCCTACTCCTAACAACAAATGTGCAATTCATTTTAATTTTAACCGATGGAAATTGTCACGCATCGTATTGATTTTTGAACAATCAATTCGGCTGTCAGTCAGACTGTCAGTTGTAGACTTACTGACTCTCAGGCAGATCTGACACAATCTGGGCCCCTGACCTGAGGTCGAAACACCCACGAACGTTTGATGGACAATGTGTTTGGTTTCTAATCTTGAGGTGGTTCTGAAATGGAATTATTGGATATACTGTGCACATTATTCTGCATATACTTTTAAGAGTGTTACACATTTTATCTTATTTTTAACTTCACAAATTCATTATAATGGGATACCCAATAGTTAAAACAGTCCTGGTATAAATTAAAGGGGAAAGAAATGCTATTTCTCCTGTATACTCTGACATTTTAATTCACAAAGTTGTGGATTAGATGGAAACATCCTTCCCATTTTGTAGCAGGGCTTTTAATTGCACACACACAAAGGAGTTGCTTGTCAAGGTCAGGGTGCAAAAAATCCTGTTTCACTTGGAATGGGGATAAATGCAGTTCGATATTTTACGTGAAGTGCTACAACCTTTTGTGCACGTGTAAAACAGTGATGGTAACCCATACATAGTATTCACAATGCCCAGTGGATGTTAGTAAGTATCCTTGATTCGTGATGACTTATTTTTTATTTGTATTAATTATAAAAGAACTCCTATCTACATTTTAAAGTTAGCTGTAGTGAGACAGTCAAGATACTGAAAGAACACTGCATAGCCTGCCACCTAGTGGGTAATTTTAGACAGTAATGCTACGTCAACTCAAAGCAAATAGTGCGCATTCCGGTCAGTGCAATTTATACAAAAAGAAAATCCCTGACATCCTTTTATGTATTTATTTTTAATTTTTTTGAGACATTGTTTTAAAAACATTACTTCAATTCATTTTTTTTTTGCCAAAATGTAAGATATGCTAGATAGAGATTCTTTGATAATAGCTGTACAAAGGCGCGTATGATTTGTATTATTTTGATATTCACTTTTTGAGAGAATTTCTTGTCTGTTGCTTTTTAGTGAAATACACTGGTCTTTGTGTTTCGTAACAACTGCTGTGTTGTTAAAACGTTTTTTTTTTTTGTTTTCGTTGTCAACATTATAATTTATGCAGTGTTGATAATATATTATATACATAATGAAAAGGGTTTTCGTGATACAACCATATCTGTGACGTGGTCATTACGCAAAAGAAAAAGGAAGGAAGGATTTCCTGTGTCGACGGCGGAGGGATACGTTTTCTTATCGTGTGGCGCGCCTAGTGAAACTCGAATGGTCTCCACTATTGGTCGCGGATTGATACGAGTATACAAGCTTCCTATACAATTGAGTGAGAAGTCAATGTGAACTGCAGCAAGAGAGGAAAACATGGCGACTTCGCAACATGAGGGACATGCAAATCAACTCGATCTTCTGATTAAAGCCGGTAACGTTACTTTTATGCTGTCTTTCACTACGACACAGAAGCTCCCGTGGATGTACCGCTCGTGTTTTTTAAAGCGCGTCCGCTGCTGTTTCGTCCGCGTAGGAGCGTGCTGAAGTAATGGAGGGCAATCAGGAAGTGATCACCTTGGTTAGCAACCTGCATGGCGTTGCTATACGGTTTTATAAAACCGACTTTACTGTGCGAGTTAATTTGAAGAGTCGCTGACGGCCTTGTGCATTAAATCTTTATTTGCGTTATTTTGTGTTTTGCACATTTGAAGGTTTTCGCAGCTTATTGCCTAAGCATTGTAGAATAACGGTTTGCAGATCAGGCTCTGCACAACCAGGAAGTGAACGGATGTTGTCTTTCCTACGTCTTTGCCACGCTGTCTGGGTCGGCGAGGATATATGGGTTTATTTTACTACCTCAGAACAATTTTATACTAGCACATTTTGCACTACTCCAAGAATGATCTGTCTCAGGTGTTCCCCCGTTTTTCCGCACTAGTTTGTGTTGTTTGTCGGAAGAATATGCTGTACAGTATTGCTTGTAAATCACAGCAGATTGTCACATATAGATTTACCTATCGTATTTTGTCATAATATTGCCATTGATGTCGTGAAAGCTATCTTTGGTTACAAAAGTTATTTAAATTTGTTTCCGGTATTTTACTCCGTGTCTGTATTTGTATGTGGGGTTGAAACGTGGGACGGCCTGACTCACTCGCTTTCTTCCGTGTACTTGTTTGTAGTGCGGCGGGGGACTTCGATAGTGTTAATGTTCACAAACATAGTGGGATTTAGATAACTGTATTTGTAGTTACATAACTATTAACAGTGTTGTACATATACAATCGGCTTTGTTTCTTTTTGCATTTGACCATTTTAAAAGTAATATGTGCCTTTTTGGATGGCGGAAGCATTGTTTGTGTGAAGGGCGGTAGCCTTCCTTAATTGACTTCACAGTTCGTCCAATGGCTTAATAACGCCCATTGTCGACCAATGAAGTTCGAGTAAGGGGCGGGTCCTTAACTCAAACATGATCCAATAGGCGCCGAGGCGGCTGTTGAGTGACAAGGGGATTTGTGAGCTTCTTCGAAGAGAAGTGGAGGGAAAGGCTGAGGAGTGTAAACACGGAAGTCATCAGAGGAAGAACTACTTTATGTCGGACTACCTACTATTACTGCTACCTATAGTAGTATAATATACCTAAGTTTTTTTTTCTCTAAACGATAATAAATCATTTCCCTTATACAATGTATTTTCACATATTTACTGGGTGTATCCAATAAAATGCATTAATTAATAAATTATGGATAATTTCTAAAAGAATGTATAGGTCAAGCCTTCTAACAACTCTTTAACCTCACACCTTTGTAGTGGTCTTATTACAGCACAGTTGCTTAAAAAAAAAAAAGACATCTCAGCAGCCTATCAGGACCTCAGTCCTCCTGCCCTGTTTGTTTCTGAACAGGACTATCTAAAGATAGCACGTGTCTCTCTTCTATCCAGTGTCTGTCCCCTCAATGAGATAGCCAAACATGGACAGGGCAAGCTGGAAAAGATTCTCGTGTTTCCCACAAGTGATTGACAACAACAGCAGCAGCAGGTGCAGCTGGTTCATTCCCATGGTGCTTTAGGGTTTCTACTGTATGCACACACTTGGAGATAGTGTTGGTCTGCTCCAACTCTGGTTGATTTTTAGTGGCACCAATTTTAATATCTGTAGTGCTTTCAAGTGGTTTGAGTATTTTAGCCTTAAACAAAATTAAATTTGAACAATGAAAATTGGTTAAACATGGATACTAAAAATCAAAAGGTACAACATGTAAAGATGGTTTTCTTTTAATGCTGAACATGGGGGGAAAACAGTGCCAGGTCATAATTACTGACTATGTTCGCTATTATAAATAAATTATTAAATTTACAAAAAAGGTTTTCCACTAGATGGCAGCATTTTCCTATTGTTTGTGACATTTGAAGTGTGTTAAAAAAGGTTAAATCAATAAATCACAAGTTGTTTTGAAGTAAAAACGTTAAATATTAGAATTTTCTGCTATTATAAAAAAAATCTGTTTAACCTTAATGTTTTCCTAAATTGTCTTTCAGTTGAGGCCTCTGTCCATGCCACAAATGTCTGCTCTGACAAGACCTTTGAAGCTGCTGAGGCTCTGCTACGCATGGACTCACCATCCAGCCTCAGAGAGGATCGCAGTCCAGGTATCAAGTGCTACCTAATTTCAGTGTTGACTGTTCTCTTATTTTTTTACATATTTAAAGCACAACGGTAAAAAAATAAATTTTTTATGCTGTGTTATCAACTGATAATATTTGCAAATTAAAGTATATAATTGAACAGATTTAAGTGATTTTCACTCTTAAGTAGCACCCTTTGAATAAAGTGCTTGTTTAAAATAAACATTCTAGTCTTTGTTAAAACTAAAACGGGTTCTTTATCTTTTTGGGATTAAAGTTGTAATATGCCTTGGGTGTCATTTTGTCAAATTATTTTTTTGCGTAATATTTATAAAAAAGACAAATCTTAAACAGCAGCTTACCTTTATTTGTTCCATCAAAACCTGTCTTCCATTCAGAGGCTTTTGCCCCACAAGGTGTGTGCTCACCAGACTTCCTGCACGCGGCTATGCGTCCTGACATAGCAGAGTCAGAGGTGGAGATTACGACAGAAGACTGCTGTGAGGAGGTTGATGAGGACATGGTCACACTGCTGGAGGATCCAGAGCCAGAACCAGACCACGAGCCTGCCAAAAAGAAAAGAGGTAGTAACAGCGATGTGCTTAGATCATGTTATGTTGACAATTGATGTAAAGTAGGTTTAAGTGGTGTGGATCAATCTATGGTAACAGGCAGACTGTTTCAAATGGGGTAAAATGACCGTTTCTTTATTTACATTTATTGGCATAAACTTAAGTTCTTTTTCCACATGTTTTCTGCTGTAGCTGGACGGAAACCAAAGACACATCCACTGTCCATGTCCAACGGCTCTGCAGTTCTCGGTATCAAGAAGAGAACAAGAGAGGGCAAAGGTAATATGCAGTATTATGGCAGACAGAAAATCTCTGAAAATAAAGTTTTATTGCTAACTCTATCCTTGTACATTTGAAACTACCTCAGAGAATAATTATTGTAACTAATTTTTGCACTGTGTCTGATGTTGTGGAGCAACAGAAACTCCAAAAGTTCCCTGTCAGATGCTTTTAGTTTGTACTATTAAACATGCATCGGAGTTTCTAAGTTCTATAATAGGTTTATATTCTGATTGATCATTGCTCGATGAATGTGTAGAGGTGGTCTGCCCTGCAACTGATGTTTTGAGGAGTATCATTTGGAAGCATAGGACTTCATTTTCTTTTGTCATTTATTTCCAGCAGGGAGCACCACCTACTTATGGGAGTTCCTGCTGGATCTCCTACAGGACAAGAACACCTGTCCCAGGTACATCAAATGGACCCAGAGGGAGAAGGGCATCTTCAAACTGGTCGACTCCAAGGCAGTGTCCAAGCTTTGGGGAAAACACAAGAACAAACCAGACATGAACTACGAGACTATGGGACGTGCTCTTAGGTGAGTCTCCGTGTGTGTGTGTGAGAGAGAGAACCATTTCATATTTGTTTGTTGTTGTTGTGGAAAGCAACATCAAAACTTTGAAAAATCCTCTTTTGCCCCTCAGATATTACTACCAGCGTGGTATCCTCGCCAAAGTGGAAGGTCAGCGGCTGGTTTACCAGTTTAAAGAGATGCCCAAGAACATTGTCATCATTGATGATGAATCTGCAGACTTGGCCGCGCCTGACAATTTGATCGCCTCAGAGAATGCAGCATCCTACGAGCGTGTGTCCTCACCGACAGACATGCTGCTCCACACCTCCAAGCTGTTGTCCGCCAAGAAGCCTAACATCCTGCGTGGCAGTAACAAACCCACTGTGGTCCAAGCTTCTGCAGCTACAGGAAGCAAATCAGTAACTGCTGGGGTCCCGAGGATTCTGACAGTGACGACAGCCCCAGATGGCAGTCATAGTCAGGCAGCGATTGTCTCCAATGCTGCTGCACCCAGGTGAGACATGAAAGGGATGTTTGTTGCTGTCTGTTTTGAAGGGGAAGTGGTAACTCACTTAGTGAATCCCAGATACTCCCATGTTTTAAGATGATGGATTAAACATGTTTTCTATGTTATTTTAACTGTAAAGCTTTGAAAAAGTCTTGGCTTTCCTTCAGGCTTCAGGAACTAAATTGTTTAGTTATTTTTTGTCTGGTTTACCTTTGGATGTAGGACGGTGCGGGTGGCCATGCAGGTGCCTGTGGTCATGACCACATCACTGGGTCAAAAAATCTCCACCGTTGCTGTGCAGCAATCGACGGGAACAACAGGATTAGCTGGTCACACCACCATCCTCAACAACACGTCTGCCATCGGCACTGCTGCTGGTAACGCAAACTCCCAACAGAAGGTTTGTCTTTAAAATTACCTGGTCTGTTGATCTACAATGGAAACATATCACATTGCAACCGGATGTTTGGTTCACCTTCAGTGAGTGACATTAAGAGCTTTAATGTGCAAAAGGTCAGAGGTGCTTTCTTTCATTTAGAATTTGTGTAAAGCTGCTTGTTCAGAAGTCATTTGAATTTGTGGGAAATTTAAAGAAGTTGACTTTATAAAATCTCAAAGAGGACAAATGTCGGACACATTCAACAAGGTTAGTTGCTTATTTGCAGGAATGTGAATTGCAACGTTGTATTATAAGATGAGATTATCAAATGTGAACAGCCCGTCAGTATTGTAATGGTTATTCTCATTTCACTGCTGTATTGTTTGACTCGTCATTCCAAACCTTCAAGCAGCATCTGTTGAGGGGACTCGAAAACTTTATTCAGCTTGTATGTAAACTGATTGGTGTGTAGTATTTGGGCCAACCAAAAACACTGCATTTGTTTTTTGGCTAATGATTTTACATAATTGTCTTCAGGTTTTTTTTTACCCAGTTCACGCTGTAAAAATGATTTCCACCCCACAGGTTGTACTTCAGACCATCCCCACTATGGTCCCTGCCACTGCAGAGAATGGCGAGAAGATCACAGTCCAACTAGCCAAGATCATCACCATTCCTGCCCACCAATTAGCCCAGTGTCAGCTTCAGACCTCCCCGGCAACCAGCAAATCTTCTGTAGGTGCATCTGCGGCAGGTATCAGCCTCATTGGGAGTCCCCTGACCGTACGCACCCTGGCCCCTGTCAATGTCACGCCAGGAACACAAGTGATGCGACTCACTGTGCCGACGCAGCAACAACAGCAGACTCTGGTGGTGTCCCAGTCCGGTAACATTGTCAGCAGCAGGGCAGGAAGTGTGACAGTTTCCACCGCCAACCAGGCGTTGAAGGGTCAGCCACGCGTATTAACAGGTGTCATCAGTGGTTCAGAGCTGCTGCTCGGAGGGTCAGCGCATGGAGGAATCAGTGTGGAGAAGTTGAAGGCTGCAGGGTTACAGGTCCAGACGCTGCAGCTCTCTGGATTGTCTGCAGCTCAGCAGAACCCAGTGAACCCCAAAACTGTCCAGAACCTCCCGACAGAGGCAGTGGACACTGAGGTGGTGATCAAACTGGAAACACCTAATGTGGTCAAGTCAGAGGAGCCCGAGTGTTGAAACACACACTAGTTGAAGTGTATTCATCTTCTCTCCCTCTTTATTTCTTTCTTTGTTCGTTCTTTCTTTCTTTGTCTCTCCCATGTCTCTCTCTTTCTCTCTCTCTCTCTCTGTACAGGTGTACAGTCATTTTTTACTCTTGTAATAACCAGCAGCAGTCTGAGACTTAGTCTAAGTGAGACTTTAAAGACTTCTTTTTTTTTTTTTTAAGTTTCCTACATCCCTGGGATGAAACTGAGCTGAACCCTCCCACTCACCTAATAACCACAGAAGTTTCAAGGAAGACTTAAAGGAGACTTTAAAGGAAGTTGTTAGTTTAGATAAAGGGACCAACCTCCATCACTACAGTCTGTTGTCTGAATGGATCACTATCACTGACTCCAATGAGGAATTTAAAACAATAGGAAAAAAATCAATACACTACAAAACCAGGATATTCCAGTAAAAAATATTTGGAGGTTTTGATCAAACTTTGGTTGATAATAATGTTATATTTCTTTCTCCCTCCACAAATGAAACCAGCATCTTACATCAGTCCAGATCACATTGTGTGCATGGTGCTTACATGAGAAAGTGAGGAGCAGTAACCAATGATCATATCAGACGGTAATTGTTTGTCTATGTACATATTTATATATACAGTGTAAATATATATATATATATATATATACATATATATATATCTACTACTATAGATTACGGAGCTAAAGTTAACAACCTTAGATTTAAAATTCTAACTTTTTTTTTTTTTTTTAATTTTGTGTCTGAACGTTTGTGTTTTGATACTTTGTACCAAGCACAGTATTAACTGAACAGAGAGGTTCCATAGACACAATCTAAGATATTGGTGTAATCAGGTGGTTGTAAATGTGACACAAAGATAGAAGACCAGGTAATCTTCACTGGTACCGCCGTGTTAAAATGAGGATTGAGGCTACTTTTCATTGGTCGAGTTATTTAAGTTTATAGTCAGTGACTGTAAATGATTACTTATTAGTGAAATCAAACCCATGTTTCATTTCTACATCCAATATTTGCTGTTGCTTTTGAACTAAATGACCTTCCCGTGTCTTCTTCTGCTGCTTCACTTTTACAACCATGTGTTTGCGTCTCTGTTCTTAGTTGTTCTACAGAGGGATCTGGGCTGTTTTCTGTAGTTTGTGTCTGTTGGACAGTTGATGCCCACTAAAGTAAGTTGTGCAGATCTGTGATCAGATTTGTTTGCAGTGTGGCTTCCAGTTTAAAGACTACTTCCTTCACTTGAGTGTCATGTGGATTCAACCCCAAGGATTTGTTTTGTCTGGGTTCCTGTTTTCTGGTTTGCTCTCCTTTTCTTGCCCTTCTGTGGGTTTGCATGGATAAAACAAAGACTGTTTGACTCAACGCCAGTGCATGAAGATTGAGAAGAGAAACCAAACAGGGAGAATTTTCGACAACTAATCAGTTACATTGATCAATTATTATTTAGGTTTGGAAAAGTAGGCATTTGAAAGGACACGTTTATGCAAAAGGAGAAAAATGTGTAAAAGACAAACCACTGTGGAGCTTCACTTGTATGAGTTTATATTATTTTCAGCCCTGACATTTCAAATTTTCTTTTTGTTTTTCTATTTTTTTGATGTACAAATGATAGATGTGTTCAGACTGAACTGTTTGTATATTCAACATTTGAAGTATATTCTATTTTGTTGTACTCTTGTTTCAAAGTGTATTCAAGTAGCTTTTACTAAAACATAAAATTTGGACATTGGAGAAAGTGGCAGTGATGTGGTAAAATTGTTCTACACTTGGACTGACATGGTCGTAAAGTTTAAATTTGTTTATTTATTTTTTTGGTCAAAGGATTCTTGTATTTCATGTCAGGTACTGTCTGACAAAGGTTTGTTTTAGTGGCTGAAAAAACAGTGTGAAGATGATGCTCCAGACCTCAGGGGAGAAGTGGATCATGACTCTGGGTTGAACTGCTGCCACACATATACAGTACAGAATCATTTTAGAAATGACAGTTTTGCCTTTTCAAAGTAACTTTTAACTTGCTTCATTTCCTTCTCTGCCTCTAACACTCTTCTTAGATTATCTATTTTGGCCACTTGAGCAGCTTAATGTAATTCTTACTGAAATGTGGTCAATGTGCGACTCCCTTTTCTTTAACATGGTTTTTTAAAAAATTAAATATTGGGCAAATTGGCCAAAATATTTGGCTATTTTGTAACTGTGTTTTCAGAATAGCTGTTTAGTCAGACCAAGGTCAGGAAATGGAACTAAAGGATTAGAAAGGTCAGAACTTTTTGACCTTTTGTGGAGCTGTTTATTTTGTCCTAATTACTTTGGTTTCATCCATTAAATAACTAGACATCAGTCCCACAAACAGACACCATCTAAGTGTGAAGCTAAGGCCGGTCCTGAGTTGAACACATTTTCTGTCATCTGCTTCTTCCTTTGTGGTTTCAGTGGCAGGTAACTACTTCAGTTCTCTCTTCACCAGGAATGTTTTGTGACATTGCTGCCAAAGAAATTGGACCCACTGTGGCACACGCTTCACTTGGTCAGAACAAAAAGACATTGTAATTGGCAACTTTATGAAATTTCAATCGATTTGGGGTTTTTTAATGCGTCACATCAGCAAAACAATTACCTGTGTAGTCAAAATCTAAATATGGCTTTACTTGACAAAACAAAAAATGTTATTGTAAAATTAGCAACAAAAAAAAATCCCAGGATGAAGTAACCATAGAATGCACATCAGAAATAGATGTTGTTTTATAGGTGATAAAAGTAAAGCCTGGGATAACAGTTTAACCCTCAGGAAGTGGATCGACCTTTCATTGAAACAGTTTTTAATCAGTTTGACAAATACATTTTCATCAGTACTTCATGGTGTCATTACTACTTTTACATCTGTTAGACAGACAAAGAAAATGGTAGACTGGTTGATGTCCCATAACAGACTGTTTGCAGCTGTTGTCTGACCCAACAGGTGTGAAGTAACTGGAATAGAACTCAAGTCGAACCGTCGTTGTAGTAAATGCTGAGTGGGATTTAAGGACTGAATGACTAATGACCTGTCTGGACATCTGTGTGTAAGACGAAACCTGAAACAGGTTACACTGATCACATGGCTACTAATGGTCCATTTCTTATACACAGTCCCAGTGGACTTCACTTCCCACTCTGGGTTCTATGCCTCTTTTTTTTCACTGTTGTTGCTTCACTCCAAATGACCTAGATCTTTCTTCCTCCTTGAAGCTAAAGTCACAAACCAGTGAGAGGTGGTCAGATGGATAGCTAAAGGATGGAAGCCTGTTTGGTCCAATCTGCTCCTCAGTGGGCATGTCCAACACAGAATCCACCTTCAGAGAGTCCTGAGTGTACCAGATGTAGTCCAGGGTGGTGCAACATTCCCCTGTGGGTCGTATCTTCCAGGTGGTGTACTCTGGTTCCGTCAAACCGTCTTTGCTCAGTTTTTTGTAGGCTGAGTCCAGTCCTAGAGGGGAGCTGATAAAGCGTCTGTAAACGTCTTCAGCTGGGACTGCATTGAAGTCACCACATATTAGCAGAGGGACGTCAGAGCTGGGCTCCGCCGTGGTACCGCTGCTGTGTTTCTGGAGCAGGTTCTGGAGATGTCGCAGGAGGTCAGAACCCTGAGCGCTACGGAGCCACTCCCAGCCGGAGCGCGCCTTGAGGTGGGTTGCAGCCACGCACACACATCTGGATGTAGTCCGACAACGAAGCACGGTCACCACAGCGACCTGTGAGAACAGAGAGGTAGTGAGATCCATTATTTCAGTTCACTTCATACACATTATAGTGAGAATACGTGATATGCATTTTGTCTTTAGCCTAATTTTGAACTTTTGTGGTCACTGGATTATGACGAGTTACCTCTTGTGTTTGACTACTACTATGAATTCCATTTGTCAACCACATTAAATTCACCAGGAGGTGCAGACAGTTCTACCATTTCAATGATGGCAGTATTGCAGTACATTGTAGTAACACTACAGGTCTACACAGAAGACAGAAATAAAGCTAATTCATTATTTGTTTTGTTTTTTTGTCTGTAGTGCCATTTAAAAAAAAAAACAAGATGCCCATTTTTAAATGCAGGCCATAAAGAGGTCAAGCGCAGTAACATTTATCGTTTTATCTCTGACAGTACCTAAGGTCACCATCACTCACTCTACCTGAGGAGAGACAGTGATATTATGTTGTTCTTTTTCTGATGGCCAGCAGCCTGAAAGAGCCACATGTGGCTCAGGAACCACAGGTTGCAAACATTTGGTCTGTGGAAACTCACCTGATTGGTTGGAATCCTAATAGCACACAGCCTGATGTTGACGCTGTCCAGCAGCTCAAAACTTGATTCATCAAAGAAGAGTGCGCAGCCGTCTGGACCATTGTTACCCTCCACATCTAAGCATGGAGACCAGGGTTTGGGACAGAAGTTGCTGCCATAACCCAGACCCGAGAGCACAGGCTGGAAGGTATCATAGTAGTGGTCCACTTCCTGAAGGCACAGGATATGAGGTCTGTAGGTCAGGATCTCCTCCAAGATGAGGTACTTTCTACGAGACCAGCTGAGGGCCTCTAGGGGACACTGGACAAAACTGTCCACTCCCTCACCCAGAGCTGCAGGACAAGACAAATGGATTACTCCACAGTGAGAGGGACTGGTTTCCCTTTCTGCCCCTGTCTCTGTTGATGGACTTCAACTGCCATCTTTGATAAAACACATGGATGTTCACAGTACCTTGTGCCAGAATATTCCACTGCATCACCCTAATTGAACTGTTGGGGGCACCATCTTCGTCATTTATGTTAATGAACTTCCTGTGGAATGGAGGGGGTCTGTCTCTGAGGGCTTCCTTACACTGTTGAAGCAGCTCCACTGGATCAGGGGGACATCCAGTGCCCCCCCTCTGTTCATGAACAGATAAGAAGGACAATAATGAACTACATCACCATCTCACTATAGAACCAAGATGTCAATACTGCACAGGAACAAAAGTGAGTTACCTGGCAGAGATCTGGATCCAGGGTTATGTTCCGTGTCTGGTTCAGGTCCAGGTGGGCTGGAGGGAGTGGGAGGGGCGAACTGCTGCTGCTAATTATGGGCTGAGTCAAAGTTCTGTACAGCCTGGTGGCTCCTCCACCCATTGGACAGGCTGGTGAGAAGGAAACACACAGGAAATATGGTGGTCTTAAATTCCTGACCTGAAGGCGTTAGACCTGTTTGATAAGATCAAAAAAGTGAGGCATGCCTCCACTAGGGGGCCTCAGAGTACTTTAAGACGGGGCATAATGAGGAAAAAGAACTGCAGCTGGAGGACAACCTAACAACAGGCAATAGATGGATGGATTTGTTCCAGTGCAGTGAGAATGGAGAATAACTACAGCAAAACGGATGTGTATGACGACGGCTGTTCAAAGTGTGGATTTTCAGAGACAGACTTTGGACATCAATAATGGTCTTTGTTTTAGTGAAACAATGAAACTTGAAAACTCAATGATAGTTTTAGTTTTTTATCTTAAAATTGGCTATAAAAGCACTGCCTCTTTAGTGTGTGACTCGTGGTGAGATGGCATCACCGTTGATTAAGAACCCAGTGGACCTGGGACCATTAATGTCCAGTAACAAATGGTACTAGCTAAAGCTGTGTAGTAATTCAAGTACAGTCTGTGTGCAGGCATGCACAGTAGGACTGAAGCAGCTGTGGTGATTTTGGTTTTGTTCTTGACTCAACTCTCATTAAAGTCTATAAAGTGACAATTTGACTGATTGAATAGGCAGCACTTTCATTGAGATCGCAACGATCTGCCGACATTTTCTGATGAAATTCTCAGAGGAATATAACATATTGATTAGACCTAAACAGTACTGATTTGTCACATATAATAAGTAAGGTTATTTGGTTCACTTTGATGTCATTCTATAAAATTAGATCAGTAAAATATATGAAACCAATACAGACGTCATTCAAAAATTAAAAAAGACAGTTGTTGCTCTAGTTAACTGTTTTTAAATGGATAGAGGTTAATATGTTGAAGCTTTCAGAAATGTAAACACTAAGGGCATCATATAATATGAATCAGTGATTACAGTTTCATTTACACAGCCAGACATTTTCTGCCACCACTCCCTTTCCTTGTTGGTGGTGACAGTGTTGCTTTTGGCAGTGATGACAAAGCTGAGAATCAGACTTGAAAAATCAAGTTGACATCCACCATCACGTAACTGTTGAACTCTGATTGGAGGCTCTAGGGTTTTTTTAAGCCAGACCATGAACACAAACCTGGGTATGTTGAGCCTCCTTCACAGTCCAGGCTCTCAATGTGTGTCCTGATCAACATGATTCCCTCACAGAAGAATGTGAAAAGTCTTCATTACAATTCTGTCTCTCACTAATGAAAACCAACCCCAGGAGAACTTTGAACGTGGACACATCTGGACTCTTCCATGTATGCATGCCAACAACAACAACAACAACAACAACACCTTCACCAATTCACAACATTAACACAACAGTGTGATGTGACTGTATCTAAGAAGAAAGAAGAAGCAGCAGCCTCTTACCAACAGTTTCCATTCCTGTCCAAACAGGTGAGAATCGTCTTCACCTGAGAATAAAGTCCCGTCTGTGCTGCGCTAACTGTTCCTTCTTTAACTCTCTGTCTGTAGATCAACAACCACTGACCCCAGCTGAGATTTCTCACTGCAACAGGACACGGTGAGTTTGTGTCATTTCCTCTGTCAACACAGTAATGTAACCAATCATTGCTCAAGGTTGCCTTTAAATGCTCGGCAGAGAGAAAGAGAGGAAGGGGATTGGTTGGTAACTGGTCATGTGCTTGTCGTATGTGTGTCACACACAAAGGCAGTATCTGACGCACACATATTCTGAAGACATGAGTTTTTATCCAAACAGTATTGCACTATTCAGTATTTTCCATCTGTATTATTTCAGAACTGTTGTTATATTTGTATTTAAGCCACTGGACCGCCGTGGTTTCTTCACTCTGGCTGTTTCTCCTAAACCAACCAGGGATTCCAGAAATCAATTCACCTCATTTTGAACCACTCTCTTCATCCTTTTTTCAATTGAAAGAATTGACTATTTGTACTTGGTGTACAGCCATGTTTGCGTCACTAACTGTGTGATGTCATGAGTGCGTGCGATGAGGAAAGTTTGATTGGTTTGTGTTGTGACAATGTCAGTCACTGCGGCTGTTGCTCACTGCTGTGGCCTCGGTTGTTTTCCACTGTACGTTCAGTGAATAACACAGGTGTGGGACTCAAGCTGATTCGTTTTTTATCTCCAGTTTCTCAGTTTTACTCTTTTCTTCCAAGCCTTGCAGCTCCCTCTCCAACATCTTTCTAATTAATATGCCCATCATTATCCATCATCTCTCCCCAACATCAAGACAACCTAAATGTTGCCTCCAAATTTATTAAAAAGAATATAATAAAACAAATCATAAACTCTCAGATGAATGGGACGAACTCCTGTCACTGCAAACAATAACATTGAAACATCCTAAAAACATGTCACTAAAATAGTCAGAATGTACACTATTTTCATACAGTACCTAACAAACAACAGCAACAACAAATTATGTGACAGTGTAGTAACATGTGGTTGAAACAACAAGAACAACAAGACAGTTGTTCATTAAACAGAAAAATTCACGGCCAGCCACAAAATACTCATTTACTGTTGGTGATAATTGAGCTGTTAGTGAATCTAAAAAATAGTTGCTCTTTTACTGCAAACTATACGGTTTAATTAAAAAAAAACAACCCTCCAACCAAAGAGAACACAGTGTGACCGGTACAACTTTCCCAAATCATGGTGCAATGTTTCTAACAGAGCAGTACTGTGAAATACCTTCACATGTAACAATATTTTTTTAGTAATACCTCTGATGTTACCAGGAGGGTTAAAACCCAGATTTTGTTTTTGATCCTTGAATTCAAGACCTGCAGCTGAAACTAAAGGCTATTCTGTCTTTTCCCCTGCTTACAATAAATCAATCTGCTTTTGACCAAAAAGAAAACAACAACCCATTTGTTTCCAGTCATAGAGGGCGCTAAAGGTTTGCCTTTTCTTACCTGAAGGTAAGCTCTGTTGTGTCCACTCCTTTGGAGCCAGCCAGCTGTTCCCAGGTCTGTCTTCTCTAAGTCAAGACCAGGTCAGGGACCAGACTATAATCCACTGTAACGACAGCGTAAACAACTGAGATAAAGATGACTTCCAATAAGAAGACAAGCACATGTCCAAGGTCACTAACACCTCGCTGAAGTTTCAAGTCACAGTGAGACGAACACTGCCTGTAGTGGGCCGACACACTGAAGCCCCTCGTGGTCTAATCTAATTCAGACAGTACACTCTGGTTGTAGCTGTGAACACTGCTTCACTTTCTGTTCTTAATTTCTGCCACGAGGATCTCGACTGCTCTGAGTGACTGACTCGTGATGGTCAGCAGGACTCCTAATGACTGGACGCTGGCTTCTTTGTGTCGGACGTCTTCACCTAAACAACAGCTTTTGTCTGGTCGTGGCAAACTGACCAATGGTCAGTGGGGTTTGGTCCCAACTCCACCTACAACTCTTCACTGTTAAACTCATAGCTGAGTGAATGAACATTATGAATCTATTGTAGAACGATGTGGCTTTTCTTCTCTGTTCATCATTAAGTTGTTGGATAGATTTTATATTTCTGAGTAAATACCAACAGTATCAGAGATCCTGGAATATTTTTCTTAGTAGATCCAGAACCAAATGTTTAATTGGTGAAACCATAATGCAAAAGGATATGACGCTAATAACTTCACAGATTGAAACACTGTTTACCCCTGAAGCACTACATTCATGGCTGAACTTGGAAATGTCATGCTGGGACTTCTGGGAAGCCTAACAGACTTTAATCCAGGTCAGGCTTATTCAAGGACAGTTTTACTAGTTTGTCCTTTTATTTTTTTATTCAACAGCTGGTGTGAAACAAACACATAAAACTGGAGCTGGTGAATTACTGATGCAGGTATTATAAGTAGCAAGTTGTAAAGAACTTCCAACGACGTGTGTGTGTGTGTGTGTGTGTGCTTCCTCCCCCAGTATCTGGCACAGAGCACATGCATAAAAAGATCAGCTGCAAAATTAGAAGAACGTGGGCCCCGGCCACTGGTGGTTGGTCATCCCACCTAAAACTGTCCAGACAAGATGACTGGCTGGTCAGTCAGTTCAAGTCTATGCTAACAAGCTGAGTTTTTGCTGAATGCGGACACAACCATCAATCCAAATGTGTTTGTTCAAAGTAGTCATAAAAAGGCCAAAACACTTCATCAGCGAGTAATAACAAGGTGAAGTGTGGGTGGCAGCCTCCCTGGACGACATTTGAAGCCCATCATGCCCAGTCAGAAGAGGTGAACACTGTGTCTTTTAATGGCAGTTTGACATTTCCACAGTGAAGGGGTGAAAAGCTTCACAGTTGTGATTAATACATGGTTGTATCCAGTTATATGTCAAATGTTATGTTGCAACAGTTACATACTGTTTTTGAGCTGTGACTCGTTACTGATTTTCATTTTTGAATTAATTATTTATAAATGACAAACTGTCTTACGTGTAAACATAGTGTTTTTTTCCTTCGATATTACAGTACACTGAATACCACTGGATGTGAGACATCTAACGATTAAGTTATATTAACAACATTTCATCATTTTCTGCATCAACACTACATTAAAAATACTGTAATTAACAAAAAATAGACCAGACCTAGAAAACTGAATAAGGCCATAAAAATGAACATCTGGTGAACCTGTGCTTAGAATAACCGATTTTAACTGTTATTTAGTTGTTCTTGTTATTTTTAGTCATTATTATTAAAAAAAACTAGATCAAAACTAAAAACTGACTTTTTTTAACACTGGCGCCCTCTCGTGGCTAATAAACCAAACCGGACTATGTTTATGTTTCTACGTTGCTTGGGCTTTACAATTTGTGTTAGTATGGCGGCAAAGTAAGTCTCAATAAAGTTAATAGTCGATATCTTTTTGGTGGTACAGTTTACAGTTCTGACGTCCCTGATGTTAGCCTAAAAAAACAGAACTGGTAAGAAACTAGTTGTCAGAGTCATCAACGTGGCTCGTACTTATCTTTTCAGTGAATATAATCACAGATTTAGTAAACCATTAAGCATGCCTTAAATTAAAGAAACAGTTTTGTGCATCTGTTTTTAGACAACGACATTAAGTTGTTAACTCCATTAACACATCAAACAGCCACAAGAAAAAAAAATCACTGAAGGGATTTTTAAGCAAATCTGTCAGCTGAGTGGGACTGTCTGATCACATTGACATCAACAACAACAATCAGAGCACAGTTGACTGGATGTTGATCTGAGGTTCTTGGTTCTTACCTTCTGAACTGGAAGGAACTGCTGTTTTCTTTTGCCCTCCAGCTGCTGCCTTGTTTTCCCCGCTGTCCCAATATGTTTGTGACAGTGTGTGTGTGACTGTGTTTTGTTCTCTGGAGTAGGAGTGCTGTTTGTCTGACCCTTTTACTGCAGGGCAAGGTCACAGGCTCGCAAAACCTGGTCTCCGGTGCCACCTGCTGGTAGCAGCAGCACAGCGACAGTCAGCAAACAATGTCTAAACAAGAAAGAAAGGATGATATACAGTGGTCTGCGTGGTTTTATGACAGTTTTCTCCAACGACAAACAGACGGTCAGGACTAGGTTAAATAGTTCACTCCCAAATATGTTCACGGTGTAACTCCGCCCTCGTCTGCAGACTACTGGGATTGGCTCAAATGGATCAGGTCGAAGATGACGTTGGAGTTTAGTCCCAAACACAACAGGACTCTCCAGTTTGTCTAAACTAAGGCTGAAAGTTGGCAGTAATGAGATGCTGGTGGCTCCCTTAAATCACTTTCCTGCAGTCCCATCGTTTTGCCTCCCAGTCGTCTGCTGAAATCCATCATCTGGCGGTGCAGCAGTGCGTCCACATGTCCTAACTGCTGTCTCCTCGTCTCCAGAGGGCTCCACAGAGCATTAAAAGAGTCTAAAAGAGCAGCATCTCTTCTCTGACTCTGCTCAGTCACCCGTAAATCCTCTGCCCAATCTTCCTGTAAACCTTCAATCACGGACTTGTTGTCCTCGTGGTACAGTTGAACCTGCTGCCAGTATCTGTCCTGGTCCATCCTGGCTCTCCTCACATCCTCAGTCATGTGTGTGATGCACAGGTGCAGTCGGCTGTTCTCCTGGTAGACCTGCTCCAGTTTCAGCTGACAGTCACAGATAGTCATTTCCACAGCTCTCAGCTCCAAGGCCTGGTTTTCCAGCAGGTCCATGTGATGCGCTCTCAGGTTCTGCAGCTCCACCTTCATGTCTTCTTTAGGTTGCAGCAGAGGTCCGTTTTTTTCCTTCAGCTCTTGAATCCCCAGCACCAGCTCAGCCTTTCTGAGCTTTAACTCAGAAGTGAGTTGTTCCGCTCTCTGCTGCCGCCTCTGCTCCTCTTTCCATTGAACCTCCACATCTTTGAGCACGCCCTCTTTGTCCGTCACCTCCCTCAGTAGCTCCACAGTAGACCTGGAAACCTTCTCCATTTCTGCAACACACTGCTCTATGTCTTGATGACTTTTCAGTTCTTTGTCCTTAAATTCTGCTTCACACTGAGCTCTGTGGCTCAGCAGCAGATCCACATCTGCACTCATCGGCTGGACCTGCAGGAGCGTGGCCTCCTCCTGAAGCAGCTCCTCATGTCTCCTTCTAGTGCTGATGATGTCAGAGGTAACTTTCCTCATGTGTTCCTCCTGCTCCAGTCTTGCCTTCTCCAAATGTCTCCACAGCTTGCTCCTCTCCTCCTCAAAGTGGCAGATGTTTTTCTCCTCCGTACATATGTTAGAAGACAACTCCTCCTGATTCTTCTTAAACACGTGCTGGTTGATCATGTCCGCCTCCAGGAGCTCTCTCAGCTGCTTGTCCATCTCCACGATCTCCTTGCTGTATTTGACCACCAAGGCGATGCGTTCCTCCAGTCGACCCTGAGAGTGCTCCAGCTGCTGGGAGGCCTGGATATGCTCTGTTTTCACTTTGTTTTCCTCATAATGCTGGGACTGGTACTTGTCAGATACACAGGCGAGTTGGTCCTGACTGACTGATCTGGACGTTTGTCTAATCTCGATGTGACCCTCTGCTGAGGAAACCTTCTCTCTGAGATGCTGAATGGCCAGCGTGAACCCTTCCCCTAACTGATGCCACTCCTCCTTCAGCGTTTCTCTCTGTCTTTTCAGGTCTCGGTGCTTTTGGTTTGTCTCTTGCAGCTGTTCTTCAAACCCACACCTCGATGTTGTCAGTCTCTGTAGATTGCCCTCCAGCCTGGTCATATCAGCTGTGAGCTCCTCCAGACGGTGTTGAGCCTCACGTTTCTTCTTGGTAACACTCTCCAGCTTTCTGCGGCTCCTTCTGTTCAAGTGTTTCTGCTGCTTGATTTTCTCGCTCCTGTCATGCAGCTCTTTAGTCAGGTCATGTTTTCTTACACTGAAAGCTCCTTTCTCCAAAGCCAAGACCTGATGGACAACTGTTTTTTCATGTTCATTAGCAGAAATGCAGGCTTTCAGCCGCTCCACCTGCTCCTGTTTTTGACCCAGTTGTGTTTGTAAGTCGTATTTTTGTGAGATTCGATCATTTAGAGCAGCGATCATCTCCTGGTACTCGGCCCTGACTTGATCTCTAAGAGGGTACAGATCTCTGGTTTGTTTAGAGAGTGCTTCCTGTTCGTCTTCACACTCTTTTTGTAGTTTTAAAGCTGTGTTCAGGTCATTCAGCAGCTGCTCCTTCTCCTCTTCATTGGATGCCCTGGCTGCTGCAACATCAGCCATGATTTCTCTGCTCATACACTCACGGACATTGTTGATTTGGTGTCTTAACTTGCTATTTTCAATGCTTTCTACTTCCAAAAGCTCCCGGGATGTGTGCCGCTCATTCTCAAGCTTCGTGATGGCATTTGTCATCTCTGCCAGATGAAGGCTGGCTTCAAGTGCAAATGGTAGTGCCTCATCTTTCAGCTGCTTTTCCAGTTCCTTCAAATGTTCCACGGCGACCACGACAGCTGGGAAGTCTGTGACCAAACAGGAAGCCATTATTATGTCTAAAAAGTATTTAATTCAACTCCTTGGGAGGAACTTTTTAGGAACACCTGCTGCTGGAACGGTCACTTTCCGCTTGTGAGGGGGGTCGCAATGGCAACAACAGACAACATAGAGAAGAGGAAACGGAAATCGGCGGGGTCCCAATAGCTTTAGCATTAGCTAACTGAAAGGTTACATTTAAACCAAGTAAACGCTATCGACGAGCTTGTAGTTTAACGCAGAGTTAAACACTGAGACACGTCTTTGTTATTACTTTACCTTTTCATAAGACTCGACAGATGGGCAGGCGTTGACAATTTCTCTCCGACGTTAGAAGAAACGAATCAGACAGGACTAAACGAAACTTAACTACATCGTGTTTGTTGCCAGATTTCACGTTTTCACGTACGGTAGTTTTTGTTATTTGTTATATTATGTTATTTGGAATGACAGCCCGTGATATATATGCAAAACAATAATTATACCAGGTTATTTAAAAAAAAACCGGTATATTGTATACTCTTTAAATATATAGTGTATTTGCTCACCGTGACCTTCGCTCAATTATACTGTACCTTTAGTCACAGTCTGTCTTCCGCAGAGAGGGGTGGTATTTATAAATCATTAACCTGGGTACTGTAAAGTTTTCTCTCCTTTACAATCATGAACTTAATATTTAAATGCGGAGTCCGCACCGAAAGAACTACAGATAACATAGACTTGTTGTTTATGCGTTTTATTAGGAAACCTTCTAAAAAGTTTAAGTTCATCAATATTAAAATGTATGATAGCGTAATAAATACATTCAGGTTTTGTTTGTGCTTAGAAATAAAAGGATATATTTTTTTTAAAGTAAGTCTTTACAGAACCTTCAAACCTCTATCAGTGCTACACACTTCCTACCTGATCAGAAAGATTAATCCTCAGATTACATAATAGATTACCATATAGACATAAGACAAAATGTACAAATTTTACATTGAAAAAACAAAGTAGTAATGGTATCATTTGACAGGAGCCTGGTTACAAGTGATCATTTAGAATATCTAAAATAAATCTTTTCTGACACTAAAAACAACATTTTGTACAGACATTCGTGTCAGCCGTTGTACTGGTCTATAACCTGGTGATGGCAGCCTGAATGACCTTGACGACCTCATGGCACGGCTGCAGCTGGTCATACTCTGCAAAGACGTGGCACACGTTCTCTGTCCCAGCCTCTATGCCTTTGGCCACGAAGCCAAACATTCTGTGTGTGTAGAAGACACAACGCATTCGTTTTTGATTAAAAACAAACACAACAAGAACAAGAAGTTTAACTTGCTTTGTTCTGACTTAATTTTAAGTCATCTCACAGGAGAAATGTGTACACAGTTTACATGAATATACAAAATACTGTTATTGTAATGATAAAGGAAAAATTACCTTGCGCCAAATGAGGTTCCCTTCACCCACCTGTGAGGTAAAAGGGGAGATATGAGATTAAACTAAAAGGAAAGTCTTCAATAGGTACAGTTGTCAGTGACAGTTGTAAAGAGAATGCTACACAAAGGATAACATTGTTATGATGGACCTCAGAGAAAAGGAGTGACCTGAGGATACAAGACTGTGAACTCTGCAGTCTGACTACTAGGTGTCACAAAAGTTCCTCATTTTATATAAGTAAAAAAGATTCTGCTTGTTGTTTGACAGTTGATTGTCTAGAGTTATTAGTTTGAGGTTTTCGTGGATAAAACATTAAATTAAATATAATCCTATTTAGAGGAACAGGGACCCTGAATCAGGACAGTGTTTTAACGGCCAGACAACTTCCATAGCTCTTGCCTAACTATATATATATATATATATAAAAAACTAAAACCTGTGTTTGAAACCAGGTATTCTTCCATTGATTGCAAGTGGTTTTCTTTTTTCACTTCTCCATTTAGTTGTAAAAAAAAAAAAAAGCATTTCATTTCAGTGCACGACGTCACATGTTTACTCACACTCGATCATCTGGATCTTCACCACTGTAGCTCAGCAGATGCACAGGATAATGACGTCTGAAGAAGAGCCTGTGGGGAGGAAAAACACTATGACGTTCCACTGACACTGAATGTCAGCGCAACCACACGTACACCTACTACTACCCGCCACCGACAAGTAAGAACTCTGCACACTGTTGTAGCTTCCTTACTTCCTGTTGATATCTGTCAGGGTTACACCCTTTGATGAGACCTTCATGTTGACCACAGTGGGTGTAAAGGAGCCCGGAACTTTTTCAAATGTAGACGACACTGCTCTCTGCACAGCACAAGGACCGGTTAGCATCTCGGTGGGCACAGCGCTCAGGTAGATGAAATTACAAGCTGAAGAAAGACCAAAATTTCAAGTTGTAAGACTGAACATCAGCTCATTTTTACTTGTCACTGCCCACTTGTAGTACCTTCAGGGACCATTGGAGGGCTTACCTGTTTTTCCTTTCTCCTCTGATGGGGGTAGTTTTTCATTGGTCTTTGCTTCAGTCGTTTTCAGATCTGTTAATAAAAAAGTAATCGATTAATTTCGTAAATATTCAACATGACTTTAATCAGGGATCTGCATAATTTTTGTTTATCATAGTTTCACAGTTAAAATAATAAAAAACAAACAAACAGGGGATGAAAACATTGAAGACTAAATCTCTCACCTTGGTTGTGGAGCAGCAGCTTGCAGGGTAAAGCATAAGCTGAGATCGTGTGCTGGTAGACCAGAGCAGACAGGCTCCCTTTAAGAAAGAAATAAAAAAAGAAGTTTTTGTTTTTTTTCCAGCTGACATTGCCATCTGTGGTGCGGCAACCTCTGAACAGAACAGCCGAAAGCAGGAGAAATGTGCTATCATTTCACACCCAAAAAAAAATTGACAATTGAGGTTTCCTTACAAGGGAACCCATGATGGTATCTGGGTAAAACGTTGTAATTTTTGAGTACATTTGAATGCATTATATACATAATCTACAGAGCACTTCTTATATTAATGATTGATAATTAATGTTAAAGACTTAAAATCCCTATCAGGCAGAGAGCGAAAACACTGGAATGAAGAAATGACCTTTCACTTACCAAAGTACGGTTCCTGAGAAGAACCCTTGATACGAACACCTTTGGTGGATGATTCAATCAGGAAGTGTCTGATATGCTCCAAACTGCTGTCTCCTGTGTGAACACATGTCAGGAAACGGCCATAAAAGTCAGATGGACTTTAAACAGTACCAAGTTACTCCAGGCACTTCTGCTTTATATCAGTGATTCCCAACCACTGTGCCGTGGCACACTAGTGTGTCGTAAGAGATCAATGTGTCAATCAAAAATATCACTTAATTGGGCTCAAAGCTATTATTTATTTATTGCATATATATATGCATTTATATATATATATATATATATATATATATATATATATATATACACACATATAAGATAAAAAACACATATATATATAAAAAATATCATATATGTAGTTTTCATAGCCATCTGCTCTCACCTAGAGGAAGAGTATTTAATTCTAATCCCTTCATGCTTTGACGAGCAAAGATAAATTATATGCAATAAATAAATAATAGTTTTCAGCCCAATTAAGTGATATTGGATAATTTTCCACGGCACACTTATTGATCTCTTACGACACACTAGTGTGCCACGGCACAGTGGTTGGGCATCACTCATATACATACACTGCAGTCCCAGGGAGTCTATTATGCCTTGCACCACTCCCATTGTCCACTAGAGGGCAACAATCCCCCGAAAATGGACCCCCAGTCCCAGCAGATTCATCAGTTGATTCAAATGACATTAGACATTTAAAGCCTCGTCATGACGCAGAACACACCACATGTTTGCTCTGAATCTCATTCTCCCATTAGAGTGGCACTGCGCTTACAGCTCTTATTTCTATTATCTCTCATAAAGCTGTCACATTTATGTCAAACACTAATTTATGGTCTGCCGTTAATGGCTCACGAAAGTAGCCCGGTGGCCAGGAACTGGGGAAAGTGTTCATCAGCAGTGACATCGCTCAGCTGCACACAATAAGAGAGCGCCACGACTTCTCATGGAGAAATAATGAAACTAATAGATGGTAGGACCTTGACCTGCTCTGGTAAAAATAGATTAACATTTAACTATCAACCTTATCAGAGTTATATTATTGTATGGTACTGTAAATGTTTGAAAACCCATTAGTCTCTAAAGGTGTTCGTTTGTCCAGTACTGTACACCTGTAGTCTGGTCCAGAGTGGACATGTCTGCTGCAGGACTGTCTTCTAGCTTGTCTTGCCTTTGCCTTGGAGTTCATCCTGTTTTCTCTTTCCTCTCAGTGCCATAAACAGATGCATTTCTTTTGTGTTACACAGAGTTTATACTGTGGTGGAGGAAAATAACACCACTGTCTCCTGCCCGGCCGCAGCTCGTTGGATGTCGTCAGACGTGACCGAACTCATCAGCACAGTTGCGTAAATGATTGTCTGTGTCTTCTCAGATCTCTGGGTTATATAAAGAAATGTGCCCTGTGTTAGCTACGCTGTCTTCACGTTGTTTGGGACAGTGGTGACTGCTGCAAGGCCCTTTTTAATGAGAGGAAACTTGTAATTTAAGGTAATGTTGTAGTTTTTTTTCTCTTACGGCAGAACTGTACTGCCGCACACTGGTCTTAGACAATTTTAAGATTCATGCAGAAAAAGAAATCTGAGTTAGTGCAATCATTTCATAAGTGCATAAATCAACTCCAGATGGCGCCTGAACACTTGCCCTTTTGACCCTGCTGATTTGATCTGCTTTTGGAAGAACAATTTTATTTGTTTATTATCATTGGATTTCCGTGTCCCAACCTCTTGATCTCAGACTTTTCATTTCATTTCCTGACATCAACACATTTTCGGGAAATGTAAAAAAAACAAAACACTTTACACGCAGTTATAGGGCCACCTTCTGGCACCTTGTTCAAGAAATCTTGTACTTGTTTTTCTACTTCACTAGTTTAAAAGTGTGAAATCCACTGGGACAAAAGTGTTTTTTGTGTGAATTTGGGCTAAACAAATAAAACTGACTTTAGATACTTCTCGGTCGGCTGTCTGTCCTGGGAGGTGTGTTGACATTTTATTTACCAACATGTCATGACACTTTGACGGAAATTAACACAGGGAAATGAAGTGCATTGTGGAAGAGTTCTATCGTACCCACCTGGGTAGGGAGTGGCAGTGAAGTTGATCCGTTTCTGTTCCACTTTCATGGCCAAACCAAAGCTCCCTCTGTAGGATGTACTGTCTCTGATCACAAATGTTCCTGCTTCTCCGTCTGTCACCAAGGCTTCAGCTAAGAGGAAGTGACATCACAGATGTTACCAGAATTATCAGTGTAAAATAAGCTGAGAGCGTCTATAAATCTATCTAAATTATGAGTTGCTGTTTCTTCTTATTCAGTGTGCGCTCCTCTCTCTCTGTCAGTATTCTTACCTTCTGCTCTGTTGATATGTGGACGAAACCAAAACTTTGAAGTGTCCATGACAAATTTCATTGAGGGCTGACTGCCAGTAAAGCGAGCCTGGAAACCTGGAAACAAAAGTAAAATAATAATAGATGAGTCAAACTCTGTTTTTTTTTTTTTTTTTTTTTTTTGAACATCAAGAACTTTGGCTGTGCTGTGACTGACTGTGAGGAGAGGATGGCTTTGTTTCGGAGTCATTTATGGTCTGTATGAAGTCCATTTCTGGTCCTGGGGACGGCTGGATGCACACTGATTCTGGTGCTCCATTGACTAACAGTACAGGGATGTCACTGAAAGAGCTGGACAGTGAGGCAGGACTGCTGTGTGATCCGTGGCTGTTGATTAGGTCCTGCAGGTGTCGGGGCTTCATCAGCGCAGGTTTGTCCAAGTGCCTCAGTGTGGACACATCGCTCAGGGATCCGGATGTGGTGCTGAAGTTGGGTTCTGGAGCGTCAGCATCCTCACTGGCCAGGGACAGGGTGCTGTATGTGGGACAGAGGGAAGTGGCATAGTTAACACTCAGAGTTCAGTGAGTCCAAATCCAGGTCATCTCCGCTGTGGGGTTTACCTGCCAAGGATGTAGCTTGTGTCTGAGCACGTGGACATGGAGTGGAGTGAGGTCACGCTGTTTCTGTTGGAGTTTGGTAAACGCGATCCCAGTGATGAGGTCATGTCGTGTTTTGGTGAAGAAACTCGTCGAGGTGCACTCCCAAATGGTAGTGGTGGCAGGGAACAGGTGGGGGACACTGAGACCCCATGCATGCCGTTGACCCTGAAGCTCAGACTGTTGGCTGTGGGTATGGGTATGCTGAAACTGGGGGAACATCCTCGGGGGACCAACATACAGTGGGAAACGTCTTCATCCAAATCTAAAGTGGACAAATACAGATTTGTTAGTACAGTATGTGTCATCATCCTACATATGAACTAAAGGCTCAATAACTCCATCATTTCTATGGAGGGCATACTTGGTCCGACAATCTTAGATTGCTTCACCGCCTTCTGTGTCCAAGAAGATGTCCATAGAATAGTCTATCATCTGCATAACGGTTTGCCTGAATTTTGTTTTCATTTATTTCTTTAGTGTACCAAAACTAAAACCATCAATGACTACAGTGTCTGTTGGTATCTCCACACGGACATGATTCAAATGTATCTGTTCATTCGTAATGAAGCCCAAACTCACATTCATTACAATATTTACTGACTAGTCATTTTGCAGTAGAGAGTGTTCACTAGTGCAGCACAGCAGCAGAAACATCCGGTATCTTTACTGCTCCAGAGGTTTTATGAACATGTCCATATATTTTCCAGTAAAGTAAATAAACAGCAGGAAGTAGACCAGGCTGTGAAGTGAACTTGAGGGAACGCCCTAACAGATTGTCACACCTCTGAGATGAAAGGTGGAAAACAACATCAGGACCTTTGATTTATCTGAACCCCTGTTCCTGGTTTTTTGTTTGCAGAATGGGCTTGGCCTCCAGTTCATAGCTGCTGTGTCACCTGGGAAAGAGCTGCTTGTATCTGCATGAACGACTCTGGCCATCCCTTTTGAACAATGCTCCAAAATATTCTAACTGCTGCTGCTGTTATTGAGTCTCAACTTGTTCTGGTGCACACGTTGTTCCGACTGTCTCACTGTGTTGATCGTGGGTACAGAGTGAGTCTTTAAGGGATATGTCGCAGCCTGCAGAAAAACAAGCATGCCAAGCATGTGGCTCCTGGCTGCAGCCACAGTTATATAATCCTGCATGATGTGCCTACAGAAAAAGGCTGAATCAGTTGGACTCCAGGGAACACTCTTTGGCAACTGTTGTTACCTTGGGATACCTGGGTTTTGGAACTATTTTAAAGAACCACCTAGCGATAAAACAAGGAAAATGTCAATCATATTTAACTGTGTGATCAGGTGGTTAAAATTAATACTATTTGGGTCTTAATCAGACCAAAAAAGAACCAAATAGTACTTGCCAACAAACAAACTCCAACATAGAATTGACTCACACCAACATCAGATCAGATGTGAACTCTAGAACCTTTACTTTTCTGGAGAGGATCAGCTTGGTTACTCACATCAAACTCTACGTAGACCCAACCAGACTGCTCTCCAGTCGGCCTTTCAAAAGTGGAAACCCTGGTTTCACTTTTGCTCTTCTAATCAAATCTCGATGAACTATGACCAAGATCATCTTCTATGGAGTCAGCACACAATGATGAGGTGTCATCAGGAGCAATGATCAAGCAGCAGACCGTGGTGTGTGTGTGTGTGTGTGTTTTACTAAGCTTTCTTTAATGTCCTTTAGAAATGGAAACATGAACCGACCTGTTTTCACTGAAGAATAAATGTCCCCCTCAGCTGACTGAAAGATCAGTTTGACTTTTAGCTTATCTGAGCTTACTGCAATTTTCATTAACCTGATCGTAACATCTTTCAGAAAAATAAAAATAAAATACCAACCAACAAGACAAAAATAACAAACTTGTAGGATTAACATAAACAGCCTACAGCCTATGGGTTCACACAAGAGGGTGCGGGGGCTTTACCAGGGTCGCCTGAAGTACAGACTTCTTTTTCCACAGGAAGTCAATGTGTGTACTTGGTTGCTGTACACACTGCTGTACCACCCATTTGTCTGACTTGTGGCTGAGTGCAGCTGAACATGCCCAGGGTGTGGCAGGAGTCTGTCTGGGCACTGGTCCCAGATCAGCTGAAGTGTCGCAATTACACTATTAAAAGCTTTAGGTCTGTCTTTTGATTTTGGGCGGATGAATTTCCAATGCTCCAGGCTGTGTGAACTAATAGTTTTACTGATTACTAGTGCTTGACTGTGTATCACAGTCAGTATGTGACACACGCCTGTAGGTGTAGTCTGTAGACAGGGAAGTATGTGAGCAATGACCCAACAACCCACCCCCACACCGTCTTAGCTGTTTACATAGCCTTGCTGGTTGTCTTGATAGATCAAAAAACAATAAAGGTACTTGGTGGTCTGTGGTCTTCTGCTGCCTCACCCTTGTGGAAGTTGCTATCTCAGTAAAAAAAAAACAGACCAGCTTGTACTGATTGAGGTTGAAAATATTCAGCTGTAAAGAAGAACAAACCAACACACCTCAGCTAACGTCCTGAAGCTAACTGGATAACTGTCAGCTGCATATCTTATTAAAGGCTCGTGGTCTCCAAGGACAACATTTGGAGAAAGAAGAAAAGCTGCTTCATTGTCATCCTTTACCTGTGGGCGGGCTGACACATGACGGACTTTTGTTGACCTGAATGGGTTCAAATGTCGGATCCAGTTCCAAGATTAGCTGGTTAAGATGATCCAGGGAAATGTCAAGTTCAGAGTCGCTCGGCTGACCGCCAGGTGTCATGAGACAGGGATGTTGATCGACTGCCTCCTGGGCCTCGTGCAGGCGGATAGTTTGACCAACCCTCAGAACGTGGTTTGGAATCATGCTATGGGACATGCCTTTAACTGTAGGCATCATGTTAGGAGAGCTGACAGTCCTGGAAGACAAATCAAAGACATGAGGACAATGAAGTCAGATCTGTTACACTGTTCTCTCTGGAGTAAAGCCCGAGCTTTGTCTTCTTTACAAAACAAACCCAACGTGAGATTTTTGTTTCCCAGAGACTCATGTTCTTATCCTGACACCAAAGACTTTTCCAAAGAGCCTTTAGATTTTCAGGACATCAACATACTGTAGAATAACCATCCATTTTGGGGACTTAAGTGGACAAAGATTAATTGAACATATTTAATTTTAATATTGCCCAGTTCTTTTGTTTTAGCAGACGATTGTTGTTAGCAGACGATTGTAATAAAAGCATTTCTACATTTGGTTCAACTGGTCAGATGAATTCAGTCCTTTAGGGTTTTGTTGTGTTTTGGGTTTGGAGGACAACAGTTCCTGTTGACCAGGAGGTCACAGGCTGTGCATGGGATTAAAGTTACCTACAGTGTGTGTGCAGTTGACTGGTTGTTGAGCTGTGTGTTCTAGTTGAAGTCAGTTTTCTCTAATCTAATTATATTATATAAATATAAATTATAAATAATTATAAATATATCTAGTTATACTTGACCTTATGTCAGTGAGATGGGAATTTGTTATTCACACGTCTTCACTCTCCACTCTCAATTAAAAAAAAAACACTCTAAACCGCCATCACATTTTTGATCTTGTGCACCCCTAGGGACGCTTGCACCACACTTTGGGTATCCCTGATCTAGAGGGTTGACGGTTGAAATCTAGTCACCTACCTGTCCCCAGCTTCAACCCTTATGAAAACTGTGGGCAAACGGTGTTATTTGGACATTTGTTAGAGACTGTACTAATATCTGACTAGTGGTGACCACGGTTCTGTAAGTTGATACAAGTGAAGCTGAGCAAGATTTCATTTCTACAATTCAGTTTTTTCCCCACTGCCAGTGAAAATGATTCTAGATAATCACAGGACTTCACCGACCAGTTACTAGAAAGTCGCTGTGGTCTGCATTTGTGTAATCGTCTTCTGTTGCGCAAAAAAAGATCAGTGACAGACGTGTGAGTAAAAAGGCGTTTGTGATTTAGAGGATAGGGTGTGTAACATGTGTGGGGAGATAGGCTCACACTGCCCCTCCATCTGCCCCTCCACCTTCAGACGAGGTGTGGTGCCCAGTGAGTCACGCAGGTGACTGAATGTTACCATGACTACTCTGGTGTTTGTCTACAACAGCATTTAACACAGGCACAGGAAAATATGCAGAATAATCATAAGTCCATAATAATCAAGTTCAAAATGTTTTGATCCAACCTTTGTTCTTGTGTTTGGCCTAGGTCACAGTGTTGATTTGCTCAGAAAGTAAATAATTGTGTATTTGACTTTCTAAAAAAACAAACAAATAATGAAATAAATAACTAAAAATATAGTTCAAACATCATGTGTTGCAAACCAATGAACACTGCTATAATATAAACTGGACTTGCTTACAAAGTAAAGTATATTGACATTCTAATCAAACATTCTAATCAAACATTGGGAGTCTGCTCTGTGTACTGATTATATCCATTAGGGTCAGGTTCTTACCTGTTTCTGTGGTTCTGGTTCTCTGCTGCTGAAGTCTCTTCTCACTCCTGACTCCTGTTCTGTGACTTCATGGTTAACAGACTTTTATTAATCAAGTCCCAACCCTCATCTTATTCAGCCAATCAGCTGCCAGGATCACTTGAACAGATGATGTCATCGTCAATGAAGTGAAAAGTGTGTAGCCGGAGGGTGCTTTCACTCACGCAACACTGACACACAGTCACATCAAGTGAGTCTAATGTTTCCTTTTTTTTACTAGTATTAAGAAAATCTTTTTTCTTGAGAGGTCAACCAGAGGTCACTGTGTCCAGTGATAGTATAGGAGAGAACTGAACCTGTCAACCTTCAAGAACACAGAACAGTGCGGCCTCCTCAGACTTCCTCGGACCGTAGGTCATCTCAGTGCTCGGTGTGTTGTCAGGAACTTCGCCTTCAGGGTCCATATCTGTGAACGTCACGCCTGCTGTCTTCACCTGCCCTGTGCATCAGGGGGGAAGTGCACTGGTGTAAAAAAAAAAAAAAAAGGGCCACCCAAAACAAACAAAATGTATGGACAAAGCATAAGCTGTGACAGACATATGTACAGACAGAACAGAGGGAAGTTCTTGGACAAGAGGTGAATGTGGTGGAACTCTGAGAACCTTCACAGGAAACATGTCTCCTGTCTTCTTCTGAACTTCATCTCTTTACGTCTTCTCTGCATAACCTTTGATGATCTGTGCAGCAATGTAACTGGACGTGTACGGAATACTTTATAGTACTGTGGGATCGTAGGGGTGAACCCCAACCACACAAGTGTTCATACCAAAAACTATGAAGCTGAAAGAGGAAATTGTAGAGACAGTTGTGGAAGGAGGGTGAGGAGTGGGGGGGGGCGGGGGGGGCATGTAGCAGTGGAAGTTGTTAACATGCCTGTGTAGATTTATTATTCTCTAGAGATTTGTAGAACGTAGTGAACTGAAACGTCATGTGAAAAAATGTCTTCATCTGTACAGATATTAAATATAACATTTTTTTTCAGTGAGAAAAATAAACACACAACAAAATCTAACATTTACAATGTCAGATTACATGTAGGTTTCAAAACATAAAAGGTTTGCCAAAATACAGATAAATGTAAATGTGCATTTTTTAAAAACCTTTGAGCCATAAGTTTATAGTTGGTCAAAAGCACCTTTAAAAACATTAACGAAAATGCCTGACACCTGATAGTTCAAACCCAATAAAAACATTAGGTCAACATTAATATGAGATTATAAATTTGAGCTCAGAGACATTCAGCTAAAAGTACACACAAAAAAGAAATGGGCAAAGGGCCCGACTTAGGAATACATTCTGTCGCTCGTATGGCACGTTGTCTGTCTGAGACTATTGTCCATGTAGTCCATGTGTGGCCTGGATCTAATTTACTGGTAGACAAGCAGCGTTAGGGAGAGAACGTGGTGGTGGTCTCAGTATCTGTTGGCGCTGAGCTCCTCCTCTTGCCGCTGTACTTGAAGAACTTCTCTTGACTCATGCAGCCCAATTCCTTGAACAGCTTCATGAGGTCGTGGCGGAACTTCACTCCTATAAAAGCATAGACGAAGGGGTTCAGGCAACACCTGAGAAAGGCCACGCACTGGGTGACATCGGTGGCGTAGAGCAGACGGATGTCGTAGTTACAGTCCTCAGTACCCCCCTGCGCCGTGACGATTGTGGTCCAAAACAGGACCAGGTTGTAGGGCACCTGACACAGCAGGAAGACGGCCACCACTGCCAGAATCACCTTAATGGCCTTGTTCCGCTCAAAGTTACGAGCCTGGCAGAGGGTCTTCACGATGCTGCTGTAGCAGAAGCTCATAACGAGGAGAGGAAGAACGAAAGCCAGAACAATCTGGCTGGACTGGATGCGCAGCTGGTCAGAGCTTCTGGAGAACGGTGTGCAGGTTTCGTTGGTGATGGTGGTGTACATCAAATCCGGTATGGAGAAGATGAGAGACGTGACCCAGATGGCCACCGACGAAACCTTGCTGACAAACACGGCCCGGGATCGATGGCGGTGAGCACAGACCGCTTTGGAGATGGCAAAGTAGCGATCCACGCTGATGAAGCAGAGCAGGAGCATGCTGCTGTAGAAGCTGACTTTGTAAATGGCGTGCATGGATTTGCACATGGCCAGGCCCAGCATCCACCCTGATATTGAATTGAGCATCCAGAAAGGGAGAGAGAGAGAGAACAGAAGATCGGCAAAGGACAGGTTGAGCAGGTACACGTCCGTCATGGTCTTCAGACGCTTGAAGTAGAAGAAGGTCAGTATGACCAGCATGTTCCCCGCCAGGCCCAGGACAAAGATGATGGAGTAGAAGGTGGGCATGAACCAGAGGCGGAAATATCGGTTGGACTCTTTCACACAGACAGATGGAAAATCTTCATAATCCACACTGGAGTAGTTGTACTCTGGGTAGTTCATGGTTGAGTTTTCCTCATGCTGAGACAAGCCCACCTGTGAAGAAGACAGATGTTTAAGTCCAGAACACCTGTCTGTGACTCACTGGTATTGTGTTGGACTAGTTTAGAACACAGTAGTAGCTTCCAGTGTGGAAACATTGGCTGAATATTAGCCAAATAACGGAAACTGTCCAGAAGTGACAAACACTTCAACGACCCTGGTGCTTGTCACTGGTTTATCTGCCCCAGTGACTTCTGGGTATTTCTTAAGTACAATAAGCAGTTGTCGGGTGATTGTTAGTCGGAGCAGCTTCTTCCTTTGCCCTCTGATACATATATCTTCTTGCACCTTTACTTTCTGAGAGGAAATGTTGCTGGTGAAGAGACATCTGTGGTCTGTGGTTGTTTCTGCTTTACTGTCAATCTCTACAAATGTTTTTTTCACCTTCTTCCTGCACAGTCTGTTTTATCTTACCTTAAAAGTCAGGAGCCAGATCAGCATGGCCGGCACGAGATCAGGTCTTTGGAGACCTGGACACACACAAAATACAGTTGATGAGATATTGTCCTCCGTCTGACTATTACTAAACACAGTTTGTCAGGTAGTGTTGTTATAAAGGTAGATGTAACATTTTGGAATACAAATAATTGTTGACCATATTTACAAAAGCATTTCCTGAATGATATTTAACAGCTATAGTGAGGAGTCAGACAAAAACCATAGCCAGTACACTTACCAAATGTCTTTAAAACTCTTTAATTTAAACTAAGTAAAAGTCAATGAGATGGTTAGAAAACATTTATAAATTCACTGACATGTGAAAAAGCTAATTAAAAAGCCAAAAGCTGACTAAAGGTTAGCTTGCAAGAGATTGTAAAGGACAAAGCTAAGAGATAGCAGAAAATTCAAAGTAACTACAGAAACAGCTAAAGATGTCTGTATTAGCCAAAGTAGCATAAAGCTAGCCACCAGGTATTAAACATGTTTGAAGTCAGTGATGTAATCATTTTGGAAAAGTTTTTTTTATTCTGATATTTCTTAGTAAAGCTTTGTTACATTTGAACAGACTTTCATATTTACATTTAGATTAGGGTTAGATCAGATTAGATCAGATTAGATTCATAGATGGATTACATTTGTTTTTTAAAAAGACCCTTGGTCTCAGATTTAAAGAAATTTAAAGTAACTTTCTCTTCACAATATTACACCAATTTCTGTTTCAAATTAATTGACATTACTCGTGACACTGTTAGATGGATGTATGGTTTTTCTGTGCAGCCACGTAGTTTCTCTGAAGATGAAGACTTCTGCATTTCTAAACTGATTTAAAAAAAAGTGAAAATAATTGTTCACAAGACTGTAACTGCTTTAAACACATACAAAAAGTGATTTCAGTATTTGAACCAAACCTTTGAAAGTGAATAACACATCAGCCCTGAGTGTAATTTAAAACTGAAGAGTTACTGACATTTACAATGAGACGTTCTGTAAAAACATTCGATACCAAATGTACATTTTTCAGTTACTCACCGCTGACTGAAGTCATGTTGACTGAGAGCAGTAGTCAGTGCAGGTGAAGCCACTGAGGATGGTGTCTGTCTGATGTACATTGTTGCTTCCCCTTCTTCATAGACAAGAGAGAAAAAAAAAGATCAAACAACAATCACGTGGAATCTCAACAGCACTGAAACCATGTTACGTTTTTGTCACTGATCTTGATGGTGTCCTGCACCTGAAATTGACTCAGAAGCTCAGATTGAACGTCGGTGACCACAGTAAGAACACATGGGGAGGGGCAGAGAGCTACTTAGAATTAATAACTCTTCATCTTCCTCCTCTCCTGCAGCAAACTGGTCTGTGGTCACCAAATATAATAATATGTATAATACGATGCTGCAGGTTAATGATAGAGAGGAACCCAATTTAAAAGTTTTGATAAGTGTGACGTGACAATATATATATATATAAGAAGTCAAATCTGACAAACAATAGCCTTGTTGAAAAGATCTATATAATCTGTCTCTCCAAAAAAAACCTAGAAACAAAAGAGGGTGTGGACAAATATATATACTGTAATTTCCGGACTGTAAGCCATTACTTTTTTCACCCTCTTTGAACCCTGCGGCTTAGTAGGCTATGTTATAATAGTAGCGTATGTCTCTCTGTGAATGGTGAGAGAGAGAGAACAGTTGTGAAAGTTGACAGCAGTTTGAGTCCTGTCATGTTAAAGTGTGAGTTGGTTTTACAGGAGCTGTTCAAACACTGTTAAAATGTTCTGTAGTGGTCGGTTTGGCTGATAATAAAGACCCCAACTTCACTGTTTCTGTTTACCTCTGCTGCGGACAAACACAAAGTGAAGGGAGTTAGCCCCGGAGCTAATGTTAGCTTCGGCCCAGAAGCAGATTGCTAAGTCTCCCCTGTGCATTCCAACTATGGTCGTGGCGCCAAAGCAGGAAAGAGCTAACCTGTAACCAGCCGCCTTACCGGCACTGTTCAGAAAAAATAATTTATTTAATTAAAAGTTAAAATAAAGTATTTCTGTGTAAATATCCCATGTTACAACGTGGACACCTGCGGCTTATAGAACAAGATGGCCTATATATGTATAATTATTTTTTCTTTTTAAATGTAGTGTGTGTGGCTTATATTCAGGTGCGCTCTATATATTTTATATATATTTATATATAGATATATGTATCTATATATATATAGTAAAATGCCAGAATAAGAGTAGAAAACATACTTCCTGTGTACGAGTCATGTGACCAGGAGTAAAGGAGAGTAATGGTGAAACTAGCACAGTGATCACATGAACAAGAAAAGAAGAAAAATCCAGTGGTACTGTTTAAAACAGGCACCAGTACAAGATTTTACTTTGCTGTTTTTTACATCCTTGTGTTTTGCATATGGGGTAAACAGCCCCCTCCTCACAGTGCACACACACACCTGTCTTTCTGTGGTTGCGGTTTGATGGTTTCACTCGAAAAAAAAAAAATGCAGTGATCTTTGGTACAATAGTTTGCTCTCAACGGTTAAGTGTAGAATCAACCTGATCACGATGATTATTAAAACGAATCCCAATCTGAAGAAATAGATTATAACTGAACACTGAAGAACATCAATCTCAGGACAATGCATTTTTCCTCCTCAAAACAGGAGATCAGAACAATTTCACTTGATCGTACCCACTTCCTTTACCTGTACCGTACAGAGGACAGAGGTTGCGTGCAAAAACACACTGTATGCAGAAGTGGGTGATTCTATGCACGACCTTTGAAACGTTTTGCAATGTCCTAGTATTATAGCAGTCTGACAAAGAGAAGTCAATGGCTGATGCTTCTATTTAATATGAAAAAATAGTGTGTTTGATTTTACTGGCCTAATTTTAGCATAAATTGGATCAGGTGTGTCACAGTTGCTACGAAGACCAGATTTATTTGAAGTCGGCTGGCTCTGAAATCTGTCAGTTGGTCTACTGCCAACTGGATACACTGTCTGTCTGTACCAGGACTGTTGTAGTTAATGTTAGCTCTGTCTGTACCAGGACTGTTGTAGTTAATGTTAGCTCTGTCTGTACCAGGACTGTTGTAGTTAATGTTAGCTCTCTGTACCAGGACTGTTGTTCTGTCTGTACCAGGACTGTTGTAGTTAATGTTAGCTCTGTCTGTACCAGGACTGTTGTTACTGAAGTTAGCTGTGGTGTCAGTTATAGCTTACATTAGCTGTACCAGGACCATTGCAGCCAACTTCAGGCCTACGTGCCCCTCACATTTGGCTTTTGACATAATATTATCAAATAATAGGTCATTTTTAAATTTTATTTTAAATAGTTTTTCTTTTTTATTTGATTTTTTTCTACAGTATTTATATTAAACCAAACAAAATTTTTGTGTTTAAACATCAAACACTGGTGGGGTCTTCCAATTAAATATTAGAGCAGTAGTGAGTTTAACACCCATGGTTTAAAGTGAAGTCCAGAATGTTCTACCATTATATTTTGTTAAGTGAAAGTCATGTATGCAAACTTTAGAAACTAGTGACAAGCTGCAGTTACTATATCTATATAAAAATGTACTATTTTAAGAAAACATGTCCAACATTGTTGGGGACTAGCAAATTAGCAAATTCAACATCATGGTGTTCACTCCTTCTTAAAATGGACATCATCAAAGAGCATACTGACTATTGATCAGGGTACTTTAGCTAATCTACTCAGAAGTGGTGAGGCCACTGAGTGTCCTTGATGTTGCATCAGAATGCCAAGAGAGCAAACTTGAGTGTAAAAAAGTTTATTTGTATAAATATGAAAAAACAAATTCTTATAAGACGGCACGTCTCATGACTTCTTTTTTTCTTTAAACGACAACATGAAAATCCATGTTTAGGCAAACCTCGTTAACACTGTTGACACAATCAGGATTATTTTTTTTCTGCTGACAACTGTAATATTGAAAATAACACAAAATAAGTAGATGTTCTAAGTATACTGCTTTTGATTTGATTGACAGCTAGCAAACTTGAGAACACCGGTAAATTGATCATTGCACGGCACTGATGATGATGTCACATTATTATGACTGAGCCTGGCTCTGGGTAATCAATACACAAGTATCATAGTAAAAATAATACTGATAATAAATAACAAAAATAAGTGCTACTACTACAGATGGATACAAACTCCTGAGACAATACTGTCACTGCAATACTGAGCATAAAAACAAACATAAAATTCTGTGGCTGGGCTCTACTCTTCACAGTCCACCAACTGTGAAAATGCAGACATATGTCACATGCAAACATAACAATAAAAGCAACAATGACACTACAACACAGGAGACTGAGTCAAATTTAACACTGAACAATCTCTGATGTCACATGATTTTCTAACACCACCAGCTTTAGTTTTTTACATCTGGGATGAGCCAGACAATAGTGCTGTAGCTATATGTTTTGACATATATACTGTATATATTTATACATATGTGCTGAACAGACTCTGGTTTCTTGGGCTATGAGACACGTGGCTTATGGCTCCACCCACATCCACACATTAAGTTTTTTTTTAATTTAAAAACTGTAAATACATGGATTTAGTAATGATGATAAACCAAGGATATGTCTAAAACTTAAATCTAGGAAAAATAGATGAAAATTGAGTCAAAATGAATCTCTAGGGATGCACCAATAGCCATACCTGTATCTTATTGTCCTCATGGTAGGAGGACAATAAGACACTGTAGGTCAATAATGAATTTTAGACATCAGGGACAAAGACAAGCGACAGACTGACTGTCAAATCAGTTCTGTTATCGACAGGAACTATTTGATAAAACAACTGAAGCCTTAGCTGTGAATACACTGATGTCTCTTTTATCCCCCCAGTGGACAGATGAGGAGGTTACACCCCACCAAGTTGTTTACTTTGTTCACTGTAGAGACAGCGTTGTCGATGGAAATGGTCTATTAATGTAAAATCTCTACTCATTCTGTTGTATGAAGAGAATGTAATTTTATTTTTCTAATAATATTTCTAATATTATTTTATCTTAGTCTTATTGATATATATGTCCTAATGTGATAAAAGTGTCAGTTTGAAAAGTTTTTGTACTGTGTCATATTTGTTTTTAGATTGAAAATATTCTTCTGTTAATGAGAAGAAAAAAGTGGTTTGGGTAGCAAAGGTACAACTGCAACACACACACTGCACTTCACACCCATTACTCACAGAGCAGTTCCACCTAAATAACACTGCCCTACAGTTCATTGCATGTTTACTGTAATCCAACCACAGAAGCATTGTTCACTGTATCAGCGAGTCAATAAATTAAAATACTCATGGTACTGGTATTGATATCTGGTCTGTGAAAAATGGCACTATACTAGAAAGCCTGAAAGACCGAATTAACATGTCGTCAAGTCAGTCAGAGGTGCTTCTAAATGTCTCCCCCTGTGGGAGCAGTGTGAATGACAGTTGTGCCTGCTGCAGTAAAACTGTGTTTTTGCAACATAAACGAGGGGATGTGGATGGAGCACGTCCACAGATAGTGCTCATTCATGGATGTACACGTACATAGGTGTACACATACATGGATGTACACGTACATGGATGCGCTCAGCAGCCTCTTTCACAGATTCATTCCTTCTCTTTGTTTCATTTCTTTGTGCAGCACCTCACTTTGAGCCCAGGTGTTTCACTAACTCCCTTCTTCAGCTTTGTTAAACAACGAACCCATTCAACACTGATAAAACTGAGATGACACTGTGCAATAAGAATGACGAGAGGACGCTGACACGTGGCAACCTCACAGTTCAGGGCCAGGGCAGCTGCTGGTTTCAGTGGGCTGCTCGGGCCCTGCTGGGCCCTTCTGAGGCTTCACTGGCTGGGGCGTCCTCTGTCTGAGCAGACGTCGTCTCTGAGCCTGTGTTACTGTCGCTGGTTCCTTCTTCTATGGCACCCTCTGGGACGCTCTCCTTGTCCTCTGATGTCCCCTCTTCACTGCCTGGATGAGCATCAAGCTCCTCTGAGGACTTCAACTTCACTGATTAGAAGAGATAAACCTCTGATCAAAAAAAAAAAAAACAACCTCAAGAGCCCAGCTGACTCCAAAGTTAAAGACAAGTGTGTCTCACCTGCTGAATCTGCTGTGTGGGACTCTTCCTCACACTCCTTGCCGTTGCTACTCTCGCTGACAGAATTCTGCTGGGATTTGTTGCCGTGTGTGGCACAGATGTGCTTTTCTTCTTCAGCTAAGACACAGGTGGGCGCGTCTTTGGCCCCACGCTCCCCTGCCTCTTTTTCTCGTTCAGCCATGCGTTTGCGAGCTGCCTCTTCAGCCGCAGTGATCTCTGCAGAAATCTTCTCCATGTCAACTTCCACCTTCATGCAGCATAACTACAAAATCAGTGAGCGAGAGAAGAATGGGGGCCACAGAGCGGGATTGTTTAGTAGAATTTAGATCCAATCGAAGACTTTAGTTTTAGTAATACGCAGGGGCTTGATACAAAAGAATAATAATATAGTAATATATGTAATATTAGAATTAGCCCTTTAAAATCAGATCATGGGGAGTTATTTTGCCCTCTGTAAAATATCAGTTAATTCATCTTTATTTTCTCTAGGGTTGTGGGTGGAGCTGCAGCCAATCCCAGCAGTCAATGCCTGAGGACAAAGTTACATGCTGGAGAGTTTTCCAGTCAATTACAGAGACAAAAATTCAGTCATTCACATAACCTAGAAGTTGGCCTTCCTAAAATGCTCTTGGTAATATGATTTTGTTAACATTTATTGAGCCAATCCCAGCAGTCAATGCCTGAGGACAAAGTTACATGCTGGAGAGTTTTCCAGTCAATTACAGAGACAAAAATTCAGTCATTCACATAACCTAGAAGTTGGCCTTCCTAAAATGCTCTTGGTAATATGATTTTGTTAACATTTATTGTGCTTTCAAGTCCACAAGTTAGAAAGTTAGAAATAAAAGATTTACATTCATGAACGATGACTGAATTATTTGAGGTTTCACTTGTAATTTAACTGTTGTGGGTGTATTCTGACATTTCATTTCATTTCATTGACCGTCTTAAAAACTACTGAGTATTCGTCTGGGTTTATCCACATGGTAACTGATTCATTTTTCTCATCACTGTTTGTGCCTCTGTACCTCAGTGAAGTAACGCTGTAAACGGCGCCACCCGTTGTGCAGAGCAGACACTGCAGTCAACTGCAGAGTCCTGATTTTTATTCCAAAACAGCAACTGTTACTACGTGGGCCACAAATTGTATATGATGACAGCAATACGACCCCCAGAACATGTGGACAGAGTTAGCGGCAGCTGGTGGCTGTGAGGCAGATGTTGACGGGCACAGAACCAGAGCTGCACACTGCAGAGTCAAACATGCAAAACAAAAACTTGCGTGCGAGCGAGTGATGACCGAGATGCCGTACCCTTTTGAGCTCGTTTGTGAACGACTCTGTGGCTTCAATGAATTTTCTTTTTTTGTCCTGGTGGCGGTCTTCGATCTGGAGCAGCTCGGCCTCCAGCTTTCTCTGTGACACAAGGCAAACAGACGCCAGTCTTGTTAACCCTTACAACACCAGAGGTTCATGCATAACAATGTAAGTGTCACACCGTCACACTCCACAATCATCCTCCTTACTCCATCACCATGACTGATATAATAAGGGCACTGGTGTGACTATATGGTGAGAGAAGGACTCCGTACCTGGTGTACCATCAAGGACTGGACCTGACGTTTCAGGACCTGCATACGAGCAGTTGTAACGACCGACCTCACATCAGGGACTACACTTTCACTGAGGATCTCACTGATCAGACGATGGTTACGTTGGAAACGTGCAGCAGCTGAGTGCTTTATGGAGAACCCATCGTCATAGTCTACAGAGACAGAAAACGAAACAGACACACAAGTTAGGTTTTAGTTGAGTGTTTCCCAACCCTGGGATAAGACCAATCACAACGAGTATTACAACTTATTTTGCGGTACATGTTAAATTTAAGTATTGAAGAACTGCATCCCTGAACGACTTGAACAGCAGTTCATAATGTTCTTCTTCGTTTGTCCCTCTGATCTGATCCTGTACATCCTGGTCACTGTCATTTTATTAGACTAGATTTAATCATTGCTGGTAGTCAACAACTACCTGCTGCAGTGACCATAAAGGCTGTCTCCATAGATGTTTCTTTTGGATTGTGTCTCCTTTTGTTGTCCAGTTTCTTTTCCGCACATTATTTACAATTTAATAAACAATTGAATTGTAATGTGTGTGGTGTTAAATGAGAGTCCCACATAGGTGGTACACTGTAGGTATTTGATCATTTTGTTTGTTAATTCACCTGCATTTAGTGTCTTTAAAGTTGTCTTGCATAAAGTATTCTGTGTGCACAGAACAAAATATGACAGCAAGTGATAGCTACTGTCATAGAAATGCTGAGTATTTAGCCACGTTTTTAGTAAACTCTTGGTAACACTCTCATGGCAGTGACAGAGACCAGTAACATCAGCTGACAGCAGACAAACTAAGTTGTGTTCATTCTTATTAATACATGTGGGTAGTGCGTCATACTCAGTAGTAAGGGACATGTGTCAGTAAAATGTGACATCATATGCCTATGTGTAGAAGTTTTTACGTTGAGCAGCCCACATGGCACACTCCCTTTGTTTTAGTCTCAATAAACCAGTGACGGTTTTTATTTCTGAGGATGTGAGTTTTTGCTTCTTGTTCTGTCCGTGTCGAGCACCTACACCACCTAAACTGTTGCATTGTGAGACGTGAAATAATTTTACTTTTACTTTTTCTTCAACTGTTTAATTTGTCTTTACTGTCACCACCGTACACTTCTTTCACAGGGTGTGGGCTGTTTATTTTCTCTTTGTTGTGGTGGGCTCAGTTTTACTTGAACACACTGCTGCCGCTGCAGTGCACAGATCAAAAGAGCAACAATAATTCCCATTTGCAGTGATGCAGAGTGTTAAAGGTGTTCAATCTAGTGATCTGTCACAGAGGACAGGAACCAGTAAAAGTGGTGTCAATACTACACTGGGGCAGAGTGTGACAAATAGGCTGCTGTCGTGTCTTGTCCACTTGGGACAACATTTCGTGAGCAAATGAAATTAATTTGTTTTTTCTGTTCTATTGTTTAAACCATAACTGTGCGTGTGTTTGAGTGTCTCTGGTAGCTGTTTTTTGGGGGAAAACTGGATGCTGGGAAATGCAGAACAGGAGAAATGGAGGGAAGACTAGAAGAATCTGTATTCATTAATACAACACCATTTCTTAATCTAACCACCTGGAGTGATGAGTGTTATTTCATCAATGACGTGGGTAAGGGCTGCCGGGAACAGAACCCAGTGGGCCAGAAAAAAGTGGTGATGTGTTCAGGGACTGACTTCTTTTATTCAGACCACAGTTAAACACAGGTGCACTGAGAGAGAAACCTTTTTTTCTACCTTTAAGGTAAAAATTGTTCACTTTTTCCAACATAAGTGGGCATTTAAAAAAAAAAACAAAAAAATGTTTTTCCCCTCAACCAAATGGATCCCGAGTGCTGCTTTTATCATCTGGAAATTGTTTATTTGTAGTTTTCCTGCGCATCATTTTTTTCTTCTTTAACTCTGCCAGACCCCAGACACGCATCATTTTCTTGCTGTGTTGTCACTTTTAATCTGACATCTGATGTGAAGTCCAAGTTGGTGGCCAAATCGAGAAGTAACATCCTGCTATAATTTCATAGTACTGAAATAATGAGCCAATGATCGAGCTGAATTTATAAGTTCAGATGAAGCTTAGATTGGATTTAAATGTGAGAAAAGGTCAGAAATAATGATAACAGCAGCAAGATTTAAACAGAAAATGAACCCAACATACGGAGGAAACAGAGGAGTCCTGCAGTTGAAGCAACGGAAGAAAGACGAGAAAAAACAACAGTCTCTTTGCCTAAGCTCTCATCTAATATTAGTCTGATCTGCTGTGATTACAACTCAGGAGTCAAAGACTCAAAGCACCAGAGTCTTACCATCTGGATCCTCGGCTGGTTGAATGCTCATGTATGGTTCTCCCTTGTCAAGTCGTGACTGCCTTTGGCGACTTTCCTCTTCCAGAGCTGCCTCGGCTCGGCTTTTTGCGTTGACGTAGGCCAGGTAGGCTGGCGAGTTGTGATAGGCCTTCAAGCTTTCATTATACTCAATCTAAGGTGGAAAAGACGAATAGCAATGACAAGACACAAAGAAGGAAGGCACGCTAAACACGTGGACCCTGATTTCTACCAATGGACCAAGGTGAGGGAAAAGGTTTTTACTCAAGATACTGATCAAAGGAGGAAGTGATGACTGGAGGGACACACAACTGTTGAAGGCACATCTACTGGTCACCCATCAAAGGAACTCATGAACACCCGTTGTAAAACAACCAACCTTCTCTGCTTCGTAGTCATTCAAATAATCCTGTTTCTCCTCATCAGTGAGGTCCCTCCACATGCCACCGATTATCTTCCCAATTTCCCATAGCTTCAGATCAGGATTGGAGGCTTTTACTTGATCCCAAACCTGGTGATGAGAACCAGACATGGGTGTGGGGTTGGGTTGGAGGGGCTTATAAGTGGTTATCTCTTTGCAGAGAGGTCACAAACCAGAGGAGGCCGTGTGCTTTAAGCTCAATCTTTCAATGGCTAAATCCCACTTAGCTAAGTCTTGGCCTAGGTTGTCTGAAAACCCAACTGAATAGACCCTGATCAGTGTCTAAAACAACATGTACGTCTTTGTCCTGAGCTTTCCCTGCACTTTAGAAGCAAAGCATGCCATCGCACTGTGATGCAAAAAGGCAGCAGTGACACACTGTGTACTTACCTTTCGACTATATCTCATATAAGGCATCAGTGGCTTATCTGGTGGTTTGGGTGGCTTGGGGATATTTATTCCAGAAGAATTCTGCTGAGGACAGAAAAATAGTCACCTTTAGGCACAGATGCTGCAGCATTCAAACATGCGTAGCACTGCATTCTTGTGCCTACGTCTGTACTTCAATATACCACCCTATGAACCATAATCAATGCTTGTTCTTTGAATTGTCTTGGCTTTGATTAGAGGAAATATGAGGCCATGTGCATGTTGGAACACCACAGACTACAATGGAGAAGCACTGGAAGTAGAAAAAAAAAGAAAGAAAAAAGAAAACAGGACAATGCCAAAACAATTGCACATGAACTAAGATTTATCCACTGTGGGCTAACCGCAGCCTTGCATGCAGTGACAAAATTACTGCAGCTGGAGCCATGCTCAGCTGAGAGTCTGTGATGCTATGGCAACACTGGTGGCATGAGTTACTCAACATGGCCGCTAGAAATGCTGACTTTGGAGGGCAGGTGGTATTGAAAGACACACAGATTCTTAGTTTAAACCCAAATGGAAAAAACAGGAGTAGTTTGAAAAGATGATCATCCAAATGCAGACACGATGTTTGCTGGGATTGAATGATTTTGCACTGTTAAACTGACTGTTCTTCTGTGTTTGGTCTTTTAAAAACTGAAATACAATTATATATTGGTGCACAAGATCACCACTGTTGAAGTCATCTATGGCCTAGGAAAACTGCCTGTTTAAAATTCAAAGCCTAACAAAAGTTTTGTTACAAATTGTATTTCTCTCTGCTGTCACTGCCAACAAACTTGCTGATTTCTGACTGAACATTCATACCGTTACCCGACTGTTGTTGCTTTGGCTCCCTCCCAGTCTGTAGTTGTTGTAGGCCAGATGGCTGTATGGGTTGTACCCCACAAACCCAGGTGTGTTGGGCAATTGCTGATGGAAACAAATGAGACAGAAACATGAATGAGAAATGACAATAAAAGAAGTAGAAAAGAGGGAGGCCAACACCAGAAGAAAATAACTTAAAAAAAAAAGAAATGAAAGAAGCAAAGACAATGTGAAATAAAATTGCATTCATGCTGGGGCTTTAAAGAAATCAGTTCAGGGCAGCGGAGAATCAGCACACCAAATGTGTAGCTAACAGTGCTTAGATACATTTGAATATGGGTTGATATCGTAATAAAAACCAATGCCATTTTCATAGGGTTTACTTAGGTAATATTAGGGTTTTATGGTACTTACAGTTGTAGGGGCAGGGGGAGGAGGAGGGGCATAAGACGGTCTTTCTGTTGTGAAAGCAAAGGTCCACATGAAATCAGCTAGTGATATTTTCTACCTTTAACTTTAACTGAAATTACCTGGAAGTCCACTGTGTTATGTATGTTCAGTAAAAAATGATTTAGGAATAGATAAAGTTAAGCAATTGAGTTAAAATAATTGTGTCCACCAGGGGCACGAGTGAGATAACACATAATCAAAGGAGGGTTGAGTTATTTAGGGCTAGTCAAACTGTCTGCTTTAAGCATTGGCCCTTTACAAACAGGAGGTCAACCTTAAATGTAACATACATTACAATAAAGGTCAGCAAAAGACCACCTCAAAAAATAAAAATATTTTAGCATATTGGGCTACAGTAGCAGAAGTCACACCTAATAGATATGATCCAGAAACCAATGCATGCATTTACCAAAGTTTGCAGTTTCTGTAGTGAATTTAACCCCTTAATGTTCCACAAAATGTTTTTTAAATACCACCACCTTCCTGAGTATGGTTGGTGAGCATGATGACCATCCATTTATGAACACAGTGGTTGGTGAGCATGATGACCATCCATTTACGATCACAGTGAACTATGGTAGTGTGCCACCTAACGTAGCACTTATCACATCATATTGGCTATTAAAATGAAGGTGAACCATAAATTTTAGACAATATATTAGAAAAAGGTTTAACTTAACAGTGTACATTATGCAGAGCAGATGCAGTACAAGGCTCACATCAGAGGTTTGCACCAAATTGTAATTTATTACATTTTAATTAAGGAGTAAAAATACACAGGACTGATTCCAGTGCATTTGTGACTGAGATTATAGCAGTTCTCTACTCTTACTCTAGAATTCCATGTGTATTATAGCAGATTATCAACCTACCCATTGCACATTAATCTGTCTGCGTGTCCTACAAAATTAAAATACCACCTTCTTTTATTATTTATTTAAATTGTGTTACTTAAACAATCTTTAGTTTTATTGAATTTGAAAACGTAATTGTTTTCGAAATATCTGTGAGGCCTCAGGATTTGGATAATTGTCATTTTTATTAAAAGGTTGGATATGGATGCATTTTCTTAGGCATTGCAGTGCGTTTACTGTGTTGCTACTTGCAGTCAAATATATATTTTGCATTTTAATACCCTCACAAAAAACAAACAATTGAACGAATCGTTTGTTAGGATTACGTAATTAAAACAATAATTTCTTACTTGACATCTTTGATGAGATGGACGTGTTATCAGTCTGTTCCAGTCATTGGGTCTGGAATAAAAGAAATTGATTTATGACGCTGGTTAATCACAATGGTTATATCACACTGCCTGATAAATTACATCATTTGTGTGGCATAACACAAAGAGCCACTGACACTAACAGTCTGGTAATGGGGTTCGACAGTGCACCTTAGAATCTGCGCTAGCTCTAAAATAGCTTCAAGACTGTCACTGAAAACTGATGACTGAAACACGTAAATCGCTAAATGCCAGTGCCATTTGCACTACACCCATTCTGTTCACAGTGAACGATGAAAGATTCGACTCCGGTGCTTAATTTTAAAAGGAACCGTTAGTTGGCGTTAGCATTCGTGTTGGCCTGCAAGCAAAGCGTAGACATATAAGGACCTCTCTTCATTTTAATAACTGCACATAGTTACGTTTGGCAGCGTTTAGTTGGATAATAATTTAAATAATTTTCACAATTTATCCGAGTCGTAGGTTTTGCAAGCGCGCGTTTGCTGGCGTTGTTGTCTGAAGCTCTCAGCTAGATGCTAACGTAGCTTAGCCACCTCTATGAAAAGACAATGACAGATGTTAGCATGCAGCGTCAAGTCAAAGAGGTAACAACATTTTCATGGATCTTGATGGTGAGATGAAGCCTATAAAGAAATTGAGTTGGCTATAATTACATTAATTTAAAAAAACTCACCCTAAAATAGCTTTAGTCTCAGCACTTTGTGTGTACGTGGTCGTGTCTTTGACAGGGGAAAACTAAGCACCTAGCTGAAAGAAAACGCTCCCCCACTCTAATCGTATGAAATGGGGTCCACTCATAAGATTCCTGCAGAATCTTCCAGAACTGCTGCTGCTGCAGCACCCCCACCTCCTCCACTCTCCTCCTCCTTCTCATCTCAGCTGTGCTGTGCCTCCACAATGATGCTTATCACCTTCAACTATCACTGCTGCAGTCCATGTGCAATGTCCTCCTCCAGGATAAGAGAAAGGGACCGAGGTATATTATAACAATGACAGCAATAAAAGCTCTGCAGCTTCACATCGAAATTGCAGGTGTTTATAACATTATAATATCATGGAACTCTGAAAATCAACCCACATGTGTGACTTGATGGTATTTACTATCAATTACTTCTTTTTCATGGATTTAAATCCAATAGAAATGCAATTTCCATTGTTTTGATAGATACTTTGTTTTGGCAAACTGTTTAAATCTGTGGATGTAAAGTTATTCACAAAGTGACGACTTGTATTCATAGGTTTAAAGTCATTCTCAGGTCATTTGATCTGAAGCTGTTATGGGCACACTTGAGCAATAAATTGTATCCTTTCCACAGATGGCTTCAAAGAGGAATGAAGGAACCATCATCAACCTTGAGAAAGCATCGCTCAACAGTGGAGGTGACTTAAGACACCATCTTTCATCCACCTACAATGTTGTCCTCAGTTCCCTCCCCTAACTCAATTGTCATTGACCAAACAACCCATACAAACCTCCGTTCACACATTGACCCTGGTGATTACAACTTTCCTCCCATGTGGTCACATTCTTTATTTTGCTTTACCAACTAATTCTTCAGTTTTTTTGCCACTATGAGGATAGTTACCAGAATTTTTCTAGCAGTCGGTTAGAACTGAAGAACTGATCCTCGATGAAGAGATGAAACCAAAAGATAGTCCAGCTGCCCTCTACTTCACTGTTTTGCACTAATGTAGACACAACGCCCCCCGCCTGTTTAATGCAAATCCATATAAATTAGAAGACTATTTCATTTCACACTAAACATAAAATGCATGTTAACACTTTTCACATTTTAACTAGAATTTTAAAGTTTGGTATTTCCATTGCAAACCCAGTTGTGTGTGTTTTCTTAGCCCACGATAATGATGAAATGGCTGACCCAATCAAGCCAAGATCACAACCTCAGGGGAAACTAGTAAGTAAAAGATCATGATCATCAAATTTGACCTGGATGTGTTACTTTATTAAATATGTGTTTTTATTATTATCCATTGACGACTGCTTAATCCTTACAGAAAAAAGTGTTTCCTACACAGGCTCTTTCTGCAAATGTGTGGGTTGCAGGTGTTCTCTGCAGCTTACTTAGGTAGTAATCTCATCATAAACAATCTGAACCATTTCTTATGTCACCATACTACCAGTTGCCCTATAAGCAGTTTACGGGAGACTTGGCTTTAGAGAAAAAAAATAAGGTTGCCCTCTTCACTGGTCCGTTTGTTATTTAAACTGAAATAGTTTGAATTCTTGGCCACATTGTTCAAGACCGACAAAGGTCAATAGTTAGAACAATGTGCTCCCTAAAGATAACAATTTAAGCCTGTAGGATCAAGTCCATATCTGTGTTTGTTCAACCTGTGAAGTACTTGTTTTAGATTTGTAATTGACTGTTCTTGTGTGACCCCATTTTTTAACCTTTTTGCAAACTTGAGAGGTTTTTTTTATATATTTTATTCTCATACCAACACCTGCATAATGTATAATGACTGATTTCTATTGCCAGGTAATAAGCAGAAAGCTGCGCAGAGGACTAAAAAAACAGGACAATGCAGCGCTGGACACCTGTGGATGAAGTACATCTGGAGGTAGGTTGAAGGTCACATGCCTCTCATAAGCTACCATCCAGGCTGAACACGAGCACTCACACAGGGCCCCACAGCCACAGCTGTTCTATTGTTGATGCCCAGGGGCAGAGCAAGACCCATGACACTTTAAATCAATTGGAACCCCAATTGATGGGAACCCCATAAAGCTCCTCCAGTAAGAAAGATTTAGTTTTGGTTTTCTAAGCCACGAGAGCTCTTTTAAAACAATGGTCAAGCACTGGAACTAAGAAGACTTGAAAGTTTACTCTGCTGAAAACATTGAAGTTATATTTAGAAACTCCAGGGTCAGAATATTATGAAGGGTCAATCCAAAGGTTTTGCTTGACCAAATTCCTTAAATATTGCCGTATTTGCTAATATAGCTGCACTAAAAGTTAATGTTTTAAAATGCATTATATATTTTTTTATATAATAGATATTTATATACAGTATATTGTGATGTGCAGCACAGTGGTAGGGTAGTGGATAATAGGTAGTAATGAAGGGAGTAAACTGAGGAACTAATTTTTAATAAGCAAGTTCTCCATTATTAGGCAATATGGCTAGAACTTTCAATTCACGATGCGCATTCACACCATCTAATTTTATACACACAACCAATTTCTGCAACACTGATAGATCATAAGAAATATTTGTGTTTTAACTCTCACTTTGTAAAACTCAATTTCAAGTCACTGCTTTAATCATTTACCCATACCCAGCTAACCATGGGCAAATGGAATCACATGTTGGAAGACGTGTCCAAACACAAAACAGTATTTTTGATCAATCCTGGGAACCTGACTGGTTGCTAAATTCATGCTAGGGCTGCCAAAGTTAACGTGAGTAAAACATAAATTGTTTTTCACGTCACTATGTTTTTGTGAACCAAACTTTGCTTTGCAACATAGTTTAGGAAGCAATCAGGTGACACAGTTGAAACCTGTGCAGAAATAAAGTGAATAATAAAGTGGTGTTTCAACTGCCAAACTTAGCTTCAAATATCTGCCACTACTCTTGATGTTTACTGTAGACGAGAATGGAGCTACCACTGTGCCGATGCCGGGAGATGTTAAAGTCGAGAATAAGATGTGCTCTGTGCTAAACAATGAAAAGTAAATAATAATTTGCGATTAATCACGATTTAACTACAGACAAAAAAATAAATATTTTAATCCATTGACAACCCTAGAAATTACATACAAAGCTGTCATTATGCAGCAGTATCATTCATCACACGACTACAGTACAACATGGTAGTTACCAATGTGTGTTAATGGATTTATTACAATGTATACATTTTCATCCGGTAAACATTTACAATGTATTTGTCTTTGACATTGGTTGAAATGCTGTATTTCAGTTGTCAATCAGCCCATGGGTTTGAATATACAGTAATAGTCGGGACTAGATACAGATTTCCACCCAAGTCTCTTTGAATGCATGCAGACATTTACTTCATAATTTGTACATATGAACAGATAACATCAAAGCTAAACTGGAACAGTCTTAAGAAATGAAATTACAGGTCAGTAAAGTTAGAGTAATAACTATAGTGTAAATGCACTGTTTAAGTAGTTAAGAGGCTTTTACATAAATCAAAGCCTTTAGATGAGAATTGGAATGTGTTTGCTGAATGATACCAAAGAATTGTGCAAAGTAAACATTTTCCATGCATGCAGTTCACTGAGGGTATATTGATGTCTTTGAACCTTTGGGTCTTCAGAGTTATTTGGTTTTGGATATTTTGAGCTGTAGCACAGACTTCTCTTTTTTCAAACTGTGTGTTTTGGCAGATGACCTTTGGATTTCCTATTTTTACAGTCAAAGGTTAAACGTATCATTAGATAAAATAGTGTAAAGCAAAGAACAAGATGTATTTATACCATCTTTTAAACAGAAGCATTTTCTTAAGCACCGTTATTGTTAGGGACAAAGACATTCTTGACATTTAACTTATTTTAATATAGCTACTCTGGGATTTAGTTACAGTTTGCAGTTACACTCCTAATGGCTATAATGTGTCACTGTTACTGGTCCTCTGTTGTTTTGTGTGCTGAGTGTGGCTCTCACTTTTTTAAAAAAAATGTGTATAATACATTTAGGAGTTAAAACCTGTTTCATGTCAGACAGTGGCATGAAGTCTTCTTTTCCTATCAGCAACATAAGACGTTAATGCTATGATTTTTGCTGTTAGCAAGCCCAAGTTAAACAATCCCCACTACCAGGTAAATATAATGCTTTTGTAGACTGCCCACCAGGAGCACAAAGTAACACAAGATAAAATTCATATAGAAAGAAGACAGGAATGGCTGGTAACATCTTAACCAATAAGAATATTTGGGCTGGGACTAAAACTGATGCAGTGCTCACATGAACCAAAGCAGAAGGGAGGGTGGGGGCAGGAAAATTCTTTAGTAGTTGGATTCAGAGGTATTTGTTAAATAATACACAATACACACCTGTTAACCTTGCAGTCGCTGCAGAAATGATAAAACTTAAAAGTCCAATCAGTGGTAACTGGCTTTGGTTTCATTTTACATTTGGTCATTCTTTTTGTTCAAATTGAGATCTACAAGAAGTATTTTAACTTTTAATATTTGAGCCATGAAAAGGCACCTTATTTGTACCACTTTTCACATTAGCAAAGATGATACATTATCGTTCACAGTCCTTTCACCATTTTTGTGTTGTGGTACTGCAGTATAGGATTTGACACTAAACCTAAACTATAACTCAGACGGCATTCAATTTCATTTTATTTTTTCTGATTGGACCTGGACTAACGTGGGATGCTGTGTTTACATTGTGACTTTGAGCACATGATGAGATAGTGTTGATACTGTAGGTTGTTCAAATGGTCACACATCAAGGTAAACGTCGCACTGATTGTGTCATATCCACAAAGCCCTTGTCATCTCTTCCTATCCCTAGGAATGCCCAAAAAGTGCAGGAACTAACATCATCATTTTTCCATTAGTTTCTTTTGGCACAGTCAGTATATATAGCACCACAGTCTGTTTGCAGAGATGCTGACGTTGTATTCATGCAAAAGTGAGAGAAAAAGTCACGCTGACATCTTAGCACCAACTGGAAAAATAGGATTATCATATCAGCAGTGCAGAGTTTATGGTTTAGACAATATAGAAAGAGTCTCTGAGGCTTCTTTGTGCTATAGTTTTGAGCTCCAGGCTGCCACCAGTGTGACTAATAACTCTGAGCAACAAAATCATCACTGTCATATGAAGCTCCTGGAGATGTTTTAAACCAGGAGGTGTCTCGTACATGTATGAACAGGAAGTACATCCTTCAAATAAGCAGAACCAGTAAGACTAGACTTAGACCTATTACTATACTATTAGCCATAGACCTAATATTACTGTATACTAATAGACCTAGGCCTAATAAAGGCGATATGTGCTTAAACTCTGGGGTTTTCTCATTTTCCTCATCCTCTTCGGAGGAGAAAGACTTGAACTTTGAAATAAGGTTCACAGCTGTCTCTGTTGCCTAATGTTGCAGCTGGGACTAATGTAATAACACTCTGGTCTATTTTGTGGGTTTTCTCTATTTGAATTGGGGCCATAACTATGAGGTTTCCTGGACTGGTGCAAGAAGGCCCAAAGCAAAAACATTTTCCTCGAAAGATTTGTATTAAAGAAGGAAAGTCCAGGTTTGAAGATGATGAGGTACTATCACAATATATGAAGATTGTTTTTTCACCAATTTTTGTTTTTGTCATATTCTTTTTATCCTATATGTTTTGTGGTACATATTACTACTGGTGTGTACTGGTGTCCAGCACTTTGGCCTCTGCTTTGTGAAAAGCCATGGTTTATCATTTGATCTGTCAAAGTCTTGTTCTCTTTCTCTTATTGCTGGTCCGGTGACAAACAAAACAGGTTTGTACTAGAAATTATTTTGTATGATTTGTTTTGACTTACTTGGTCGGTGGTAGGGTTTAGTGGTATATATGCTGTAGGACTACCACATCACAACCTTTTAGTGTGTACACACCTTTCTACTTGCTCAGATGGCATACCACAGTTTATTTGTTTGACTATTTATGAAGTAGAGCTGGATGAAGCTACAAAATGCCACTGCAAAAATGAAGCAGTTGAAAACGTACAGACTCCATTGGTTTGGAGAGCTGAGTGGTTTGTATACAAGTCTGTGTAAAATGAGGCGAAATCTGATTAAATCCAACCAACTGATGGTTTCAGTGCTCATTTTGCTTTTAGTTCAATTATATATTCTATATATATTCTATAGATGATCTTAAACCCATTATTGAGATGGATGATCAGAAAAACCAATTAATGTTATGAATGGAGAATGAACCAGACTCATGTTACTTGGACTAATACACAAACTACGTAACCTCCAAAAACAGCCGGCAGTGTAAGTAGTTTTTATTCCAGGAGTATTTACAGTCTCTGGCTCCAAGAGAAATTCAAAACACCTCTCTTATGTGGGAAAGTGATTTTCTTTCTTCCCATGCGTTCGCTATGAAGCCTATGTGTCTAAAGACTAACAATCTTAAGTTCACAAATTAGAAATTAACACACACCAAGTGCTTAAAACTGTTGGTGTGTGTTAACAGTCATTCACACAGACAGAAACACAGAACAGCAAAAGGACTCAATTCAATGGTTTCCTTTTTTTCTTTGCCAAAGCCTTTGTGGCGTTATGGCTTTTAAGGCCTTTCCTCATGAAGTTCCACGAATGAGCACCAGTAGAATTCAGCTTTTTCTGCACCTTCCTCCCCACCGCTTCTTCCTCAATCCTTTAGGGTTGCTGTCATTAGCTGGTAGCAGTCGAGTTCCCCTCGCTGCTCAAGTGGACCAGGCAGCCTCATGCCGGTCTTCTGATCCACACACCAGCACTTCCCTCGTTGACCGTCACGTGCCGGGTGACACTGTAGACAAAAGATCAATCCAACAGATTATAACAAAATGTGGGTAGCTGCACTATATAAATATAGCCTTATAACCTTTGGCCTACAGTAACCTCAGATGTTGTTAATTGATAAACCAATCAATGGGTTGAGATACTTTGTTCATTTTGGAGAGTACAGTAAAAGGTAGAATATTATTCTGTGTCTAAAGTAGTGGAAGGGATAATAAAGTAGTTGCAGTGATGAAGAATGAAAGGTTAAAAGTTTGTGATAAAGAAGTAGCAGTAGTGATAATAAAGTAATGGTGTTGATAATCAGGTATCAGTAGTGATAATGAGGTTTGCAGTGAGGATAATAAAGTAGTGGTGATAATGAAATAACAGCGGTGATAGTTAAGCAGCATTGGTGATAATGAAGCAGCAGCGGTCATAATGAAGTAGCCATGGTGATAATGAATTAGTGGTGGTGATAATGAAGTAACTGTGGTAATGATGAGGTAGTGGCAGTGATAACGAAGTAACTGTGGCAATGATGAGGTAGTGGCAGTGATAATGAAGTAACTGTGGTAATGATGAGGTAGTGGCAGTGATAATGTATGTGGTGGAAATCCTTAATCTTGTTTTACTGAAGATCAAAGCAGCGATTGAGATTTTTCTACGCAAATTCTCTGATTCTGAAGTATGAGCTTGTATTTGATATACATTATACAGATATACATTATATATGTGTATATATCTTATGTGTGTATATATTATCCATCCATCCATCCATCCATCCATTTTCATTCGCTTATCCGTTACCGGGTCGCGGGGGCAGCAGTCGCCACCTAAATCACACTGCATCGTACCAACCCCCCAAACCTTCCTGCAGGTGGTGAGTCCACTGGAAGGTACCAACCGCTCTAACCGGGATTCGAACTTGCCCAGGAGGTGAACCCTGGGGTTTCACACCAATGACAGAGGCATTGCCTCTGGGCCAAAGCGCAACCTGTGTATATATTATATATGTATACATTTTATCTTATCTTGTTGTGTCATGTGTTTTGTATTATATATTTTTGCTGATCTACCGCTGCTGTTTAAGAAGAATGTGTTGAATGTTTCCTCGCATATAAATAGTGTGCCTTTGTTTTCAGAGTGAGCAGTGCGTCATCGCCCCCTGGGTGTTATGACTTAAATAGCTGATTTTCCCTATGGACTTTTTTGGGGGGAGAGAGTGACGCAAATTTTCCACTAGCTGTCTGACATAAAGATAGAGCAGCAAACACACTATGAAGTTCTTTCATACTACGTGAAATCTGTTTGTTTTTTTCGTCTTTGCTGACATGCTATCCAAGGTTCCATGGTTTCTAGCGTTTCAACTTTAACTAGGGGAAAATATCTATTACTTTCAGGTACATTACACAAATTTGCCCTTTAAGTGCTGGTAATGCTTCATTTGATATTTGAGATGATTGGCATTAACAAAAATACTACCGTATTTGTATTTTACAATTCTTTTATTGTGTCTTGATTTAAAACATTCCAAGCAAGATTTTAATTTGTGGCTTTTATAAAATGATTCCCGGTTTACTCAACATGTGCTTTACTTCCAAATGTATGTCTTTTTTTAAAATTAAGGAGCAGTTTGAGTTAAACAGTAAACACATGCCTCTGAATCCCCGCAAAGATCATTTAACAATGTTACGCAACTCACATCACTGACTCCAGATGACTGTTGCCTCTTTTTATCAGTATGTGGACAATTGCTGCTTTGATTGCTCAGAACAAAGTCTTATCTCCATTTTTATGGTTTCCCCATCCTCCCCCTCTTATCTGCAAAGTTGCCCTATCTCACAAAAGCACACGAACAAGAAGAAATCCACTTGCATGCAAAACATAATTGCATCCATCACCACGGTGAAGCGATTGTTGTTCAACAGTTTGAGGGAAACCACTTCACACACCCACAGCTTGAACTTTTGATTTCTGGAAACAAAACTCACTTTCCATCCAGCTTAACAAAATAAGACCTTGGCTTTGACAACAGCCTGTGTGGAGACTCTTTGGTGTTGATCTTGAACTAGAAAGACAACCTTTAATCGTCTGCAGGACTGCTTTGTGCTTTGGCCCGTGATTGTTGGTACAGTTTGAAAGAAACTACGTGATGTGCAGAGATAAGCATTTATTTTTATTGGCTTTTATAGAGGAGGTACTTTTTTTTCTTTTTTTTTTCTTGTTATGCAGTGTGAGAGAGTAACAGACCTGTTTTATGTGAAAATCTCCATTCCTGTCACAGTTGGGTATAGGAATTGTGAAGAGGTCATCATGTGTGCGGGTGTTTGATGCCAGTCTGTCCAAAGCCCTTTGTAGCTCAGCACGACACGGAGCCTATAAGAGGATCATTGCATGTAATTCAGCAGGTAGCAGTGACAGATACGTTTATACCAGCGTGGAATGATTGATATCCTTTAAATTATTGAAGTACAGTTAAATGTAGAGAAAAATGTTTGAGTATAAAAGATAATTATTTTCTGCGAGCAGTGACTTTCTTTTGCGTTGCATTTTTTTTTGGTTCTACTTTTCAACTAATTTCAACAATGATGCTGCACTTCAGATTTAAATTCAGCTATGAAAAATAATTTGATATTTCCAAGTTCTTTAAGCTTAGAATTCGTCCTAGAACTAATACAACATAAAAGCAGTGGCTCCTGGCCGAACTCAGCTTTTTAGTTCTTACCATTATCATCATCATCATCATCATCATCATCATCAACATCATCATCATCATATACTTGGTGATCACACTTGTCGCCCATAAATTCCTTGGCAAAATGAAATGTTTTGGTTTATTTAAAATGATTTCAGGCTATTATTTGTTTAAACATTAGCTGTTTTTTTTGTATTCAATTTGTTAATTGATTTAAGGTATAACTTTTAGGGATGCACACATTTTAGGATTGAAACTCTCTTCTTATAACTTACTCTAATATTACTACATGATTCAGTAGAGGACATCTTCTGACCAATTAGCAATAGTTTCCACTTTGCAGCCCCAGCTGCTTCCTATGTAAACCACTACATTGCTGTCCCTTCACATCACACCGTTCCTCTTCGTTAAGAGTGTGATAAAAGCAGCGTCATACTGTTTCACTGGGATGTGATCACTGTATGTTCACACAGTTTGTTAGAGTTAAAACAGAAAATTGCATGATGAGGTCACGTCCACCTGCGCTTTATTTCCAGAGATGGCATTTAAATGGTACAGTGTGTAAAAAACTAATTTGTACAATTTTATAAGCCCACTCTAATTCTGTGGAGCGATAAAGCTCTAATGTGAACCACCTGCTGGGGTTTGAGTCCTGCTCTGACTGCAGAGCCAGGTTCATGTTCTCTGTTCTACTGTTCTCCAAACTTAGGTTTACTCCTGCTGTTTAACAGTTATGTATGTTTTGGCTGAATTATAGGTATTGTCTATCAATATTTTAGCAGTTACAGATGAAGTTACGTTTTTCTTTACTGTGTAATATTGATATTAACTTTAACTGTTATTATTTATAACAACAACAACAACAACAACAATAATAATAATTACTATTGTTGTTGTTGTTATTATTATTATTATAAAACTTTATTTAAGAGTCTTTTAGAAAACACCTATTGGTTTAAGCTTTGAAACAAAAGATCCTAACTCACTAGATATTTCCTACACCTAAAATATTTTAACAATATGTGTACATTCAGAAAGGTCTGTGACGGTAGATAACAAGAAGGGCATTGTGTTTTTATTTAAAATTTAAGCAATGACACTAGTAATAACAGTTTTCTGTAAGGAATATATACAGTGTATGTTCTTCTCTCACCAGCACTGCCTTGGTTTCTTCTCTGGCGGTGTTGCTTCTCTGATTTGCAGATTTGGGTGGGTGTCGAGCCAGGGTTTTCTGTATGCAGCGTTTGTCTTGTGGACTGCATCTGATGTTACTGTTGTTCGGGTGTTCAGGGATGATCTCTTCTTGTCTTTCTGTGACTGAAGGAGGATAAAGAAAAAGGCTAAAGTTCCACAGTTCACCAAAGAACATTCCTTTAAACAGACATCTAAGTATTAGAGATAGATAATATATTTTTATGTAGCAAATGATAATAATAATAGGAGTCATATACATCTAATAAAACTGCACTGATAGGATTAGATGATTTACAGAAGCAAAATGTTTAGCTCCCTGACATAGTATGCCTGTGTAAGAGTCAGAAAGGCATTAATAGCTTAAGTTCTCCTAGAAGTGCAGAACAGTTTATTACAACAACTAATGAAATTTAAACCCAATAAGATTACACCAAGATCAGAGCAACAATGTATCGATATTTCTATTAACAATTAAAATGCAAACATTCATGGCGTTGGTTTTGTTTGTCTTATGTTCGTCATACTTGATCAAAAAAGGTCAGGTTAGCTTCGAGGTTATAGGCTGTAGCTAAGCAACAAACTGTTGTTGTGTCTGTCACCTCTCTTTATAATCTGCTTGGTGCCACATTCACCTTTGCATTTCCTTTGCCATGCGGTTCCCTGGCCCTGCAGCCAGCTGCTTCCTCAGGAAATGCCCCTGACCCCTCTACCCCCACCTCTCCTTGTTGTTTCACTCTCCACCCTTCCAAAACAATCCAGAACTATGTTGGATGGTCACAAAGTGGGCACAAGTCTGTGTGAATATCTCAGTTTAGTTCTATAGAATTAAAGGATTAACATGTGCATGTTGACACGTGGTCTTGCTCACCATCTGATCATGACAGATAACTGAGTTTCTTATTCTTAAGAATTGGGCTAAAAAGGTTAAATTCTAAACCACACTATTCTGCTCTTGAACCAAATTTTAATCATGATGGCATTAATTCATTTAGCTAAAATGTTTGCTACAATTTGAAAATGGAACTGATTCTACTTCAAAAGTCCACGGTTTCTGTGTAAAACCATCATAGAAATATACTATTAATGAATTAAATAGAAATCCCCCCATCTAAATATCAAAAACATAAATATAAACACATATATTGATAATATAAAATAATAATAAGTAATAAAACATTTTATATTACTGTTATATAGATGGGTAAAATAACCCAGCGTGACAGAGTCTCGGGCCACTAAGCGAAGATGATAAGAAGAGAGAGAGAGAAGGGAAAAGAGAGAAAAAAAGCGACAGGTAAAATAACCAAGCGAGGGACAGTGTGTGGGACAGTGCGACAGTTTTGAGTTGATTTTATTATTTTTTTATTACATTTTATTTTATTTTTTAACAACTTATTGACAGATGCCAAGACAGAAAGTTGTGTTTCATGTCTTGGCCTGTCTGAGGAGAAAGTGACTTTTGCCTGGTCTGTATTTTTAGTCTTAGTACTCATCAGCACTTTCTCCAACAGGAGCCAACAGGTCCTCAGCTGTTTCCTTTGACCCTAGTTGTTCTCCCTCATCTTTTGCCCCTTTGCACAATTCTTTCCTTTTCCATGCTGCAGGGTGCAACAGGGTGATTCAAAGTGGGTCAGAGGTTGGCACGTCCTGTTTGCTGCCACTGCTGTTTTCCATTGAGGAAGTTACCACTTCTCTGTCTGTGGTTTTATTTGATCTATATCAGCAACTATTAACTCCCAATTCCCACACGGTGAATTATGGGTTGTGGAGCTGATGTGCTGCAGTGCACTGCCAGTCACAGGTGCAGTGCAGAGATAAGAAGTTTTTCAGCAGATATAGATATATGGAATTGTTTTGCATAATTACACAAAACCATGTAAACACAAATCTCTAATGCTGATAACGACCTCTCATCAGCACCTTCATTTATAAACACTGTAAAATTTTGCATGAGAGAAAGAACATTGCACAATAAACTGCCTCATACTTGGTTTCTTTCCTGAATAAATATTTGTCAGGGTTTTTACAAATGTTTTTGTCAACTGTGGTCACACGACTGCATTTCATGAGAACATCAGTCATCAATGGTTAGGAGAAATCAGGCTCTATAAACAAGTTTACTGCTATGTTCAAAGCTGACTGTAGTTACAAGATTTCCTATACTTGTCCACACATACTCTTTACCATATACTCTGTATTAAATGGTCCTTTGTGGTGATGTGATTAATTTGTGATTTTTATGTTTTGCCTAGACCTTTGAAGCGACATACTGTATATACACTAAATTTAAGTCCCCTGTTGCAAACTCTAAGTGACCATTCAGCAACCTTTTAGTTACATTTGGGTAATTTATAATTATTTTGTGCTTCTGGGCAAAGGATGATTAATATAAAATACAAAAAAGTAAAACTATAATTTTAGCTCTGGAGGAAAATACTAAAGCTCGATGAATTCAGAACTGTCTCTTTTTATTATCTGTAAATTTATAAACGCCTACAGTCAAACATCCCCCTTAAATAAATATTTGGTTTTCCTTGGTGAAATCACCAGGTAATGTTCTGCTGCTCAAGGCTTTTGTTTGGAGATTTTGGAGTTTGGAACCTTGCCAAAAGAGAGTCCTGAACATCATGACCTCCATTTAGTGTTGTTAGTGTTTATCTTATTGCTCATTGGCTTGTATCCAGCAACAGGCAACTGAGTCGATAAGTTGGTTGATATAGCAGCCAACAGTCAATTGGTGCTTGTTCAACCACCACAGCAGACCGATTAGGGATTCAAACCTACAAACCTCTGATAACAAGATCCCCTAGCACTAGGCCCAGGGCTTCTGATTTGGTTTTGTTTTCTTCCAGGAGAACAGTTCAGCTTGCTTGCTAACAGCATAACAACATAATGTTGTTGTCCTGTTGGTCTAAAGCCAGGTTGATTCTCTTGCTAGGTAGGGTTCTAATTAAGGCCAAAATTGGAGCAGGCATCTGTATTTTGTATAAAAGGGACAGTGCTAATGATAACATCATGATGGCAAAAAAATGTCCTCTGAACTCTCTGTAACTGGAATCTGTGGGGTTGCTTGCCTTCCAAAAGAGAAACTGCATTCCTGTCTTAGGGACACAAAGCTAAAGTAAAAACAAGAATTGTTGTGTTGGTGTATGGTAGGTCTTTATAAGTTAGCAGTGACTTTTATTTCACTGGAATTGGTCACAGAGTCTAAATTCTCATGTTCTCGCACACATTATTGGCCTTGGCGTGTACATGGTTTTGACCTCGTCTTGTTTTCAAAACACTGCGGTAGAGAAGGATTGTAGATGCGTTATTCAACACTGGATGCTTTGACAGAGTATTGGAGAACTGATTTCCAGGAAAAAGATTTCTTTGAAGCAGTAAATCAACAGAGTCAAATGCAGTTCAACAAAGTTCCAGACGACCAACAAGCTTGTGCTGTACGACAGCCAATCGACACTTAATCACAAAGACATGAAGCCTGCTGTTGCACTGCCGTATACAACTCAGGCCACTTGTAATAATAAAATGAGATGACAATAACATTAAACATGGAGTTAGTGTCACAGCAGAGCTCTAGGAATACAGAATGTTTTTAAAGCCCAAAAGAAACACAGCAGCAGCTGTTTTTCATTCCTGTTACCTTTTGCTCTCATCCAGTATTCCATTAAAACATAGTCCCAAGTTTGAAAAATGTTTTAACGTTGTACACCCCTGTCCAATGACCACAAGTGAATGAATAAAACAGAAGGTGGAGCTAAAGTTAGAAGATCAAGTGCTAAATTGATATTCACTGCGAGGCCAATTACTCAAATCATATTCAGTCCGTCACTGCCGCTACTTTCCTAATTCCCTTTTTTTCCACAGAAGAAAAACATTTGGATTCCTTGGCTTTTACGGTTTGCCTAAGGCTTCAAACTCTGTAATGCCAAATATAACAGGCACACATGTGTGGATCAGAGAGAAAAATGTGTTGAGGGAATAAAAGAGTCTTCTTGGTGGATGATCTTCTCCATCCTGTATCATGACAAAAATCTGCTGGAGTGGTGTGGTGAAGGTGTAGAACATTTATATTCTACCTGAATCAAAACTGGCTCTGACATTGACGTGTTTAAAGAAGACATATCTGTGCTATGTTGATGGTTAAAAACAACAACAAAAAAAACCCCTAAAACATCTGTTGAGAGATTATGATTGACGACATCATCTATCTGACGAGACAAAGTGAATGACCTACAGCATCGTGGTTGTGAACCTCAAAAGGCTGCTCTGCATCACTACTTGTTTTACTTAAGTTTTCTTTGATTGACTTTTAGCTCTGTAAGTAGATGTTGTCATCGTAAGCTCGCAGTATTCATTGTGTGTTGATGCACTTTTAGTGCATGTAATGAATAGCAGTATGAATAGAGGGAAACCTGCAGCTGCAGTGAATTAGGTCAAACTACATTGAGTCACGTCATTAACGTAATTTCCAGTGGAACATTCTCGTTTCAATTTATGACAGGATCAGGATCTTAAACAGAAGTGCATGGAGCTGAAAGTATAATATGCAGCACTGAAGTCTTTGTTATGGCTTAGTGAATGAGCTCCTCAGTGAAACTAATGAAATGTTTTCCTACTGAAAAACCTGGCTCATACATGAAATCCCAGCCCTTTCATGATTAACTCTCCTCTGTCCTCCGGCCTGTTTTACAGCCAGTATAGTGTTGGACTGTTAGTGTGTATCTCAGTTCCAACACTCCAGGGGGGTCCTTGTCCCACAAAGGTCAGCAATTAGCTGATCACATTTACTCCTGCACAATAGTCCCAGCTGCACAAATGTGCTGCTCACCCCAAAGAAAGCAAATACACAACATCAGAGGACATCTGCTCGGGAATATTTGAAACGAAACGCCCAAAATATCACTCCAAGAGTAAACGCACATCCTGCCTTCTCAAAAGAGACAAGTCTATGTTAACACGTAGCTTTTAATGCTAGTGTGCAGCATGGTAAATTGAGCATTGTTTGACGGAGTCTGGCTCGGCTTTGCATTTCATACATGTTGTGTTCCTGCTGGTGTCAGGCTTCACCTCTGTATCGGTTTGTAAACAATATTCGTTTGACTGTTGGAGGGAAGTGTGTGAAAACAATACCTATACACTAGTATATAAAAATACATGGCACCACACTCATGTTGATTGACGATTGAAGGTCCAATGTGTAACAGTCTGTGACATCTATTAGTGAGGTCATTTATGTAGAGTTAGTTGGGATAAAAATAAAATGAACAAACGTCCCTACATTTATGATGTCAGTGAACATTCCCTTTGAAGACTCATGTTTCATGTCTTATGTCATGGGTAATAGAGGGTTAGGGTTACTGTTAGCTAAGCTGTGTAAATTAGAGTCCCAGGATAAGGTCCATATAAGGGCAATGCTTTAATTGGACAGTTGCATCATATTTTATCTTTGGTTAGTTAGTAAGGTTTATTTATATACAGTAGCACTATCACAGTTTTTCTAAAACACAAGCTACACAATTTAAAACTCATTTAAGTTAGCTAAAACCAATTAAACGGCCTGTTTGACATTTTAGGAGACTTAAATAGATAGATAGAGAAATGTAAAACAGTTAAATATAATAGAAAGTGTGACGAAATTTGTTTTTTGTCAAGATTCAAAAAATTAAGTTGTGAAGTTGTGTGTTCCACAGAACCAGAAGCTAAAGCTCAAAACGATTTGTGTTTTCTAGTTTTCTGCCCTTCACCTGCTGATCTCTGTTTGTGGATAAGGCGATGGAGGCTATGGAGTTTGGGCCTCTTAGACTGCACAGGTAACCAGTTCAGAATGGCTGAAGCAGGAGTGATGCAATCGATTTTCTTGGTGTTGATTAACTGCCTAACAGCAGAGTTGTAAATCTGGCCAAAAAGGTGTTCAGGCTTCTCCAAATAAAGACGCTGGTACAGTACTTGGAACAAGATTAAATAAAAGCTTGGATGATTTTCTCCAGTCCAGTTCTCAACAACAGATTCTAGTGTTTTGAGACATTTCTCAATTGGAAAAAAAAACATTTTTTTAAAATTTGTCCTTTAGATCATGTTCCCAGTAAAATGGTTACTTGGTGAGGTAACTGAGGAGTAGGCCTCGTTTTCTTTAAGATAACTGCTTCTACTGAGGTTTATTTAAAAAAAACTTTAAAAAAAAGAAGCTTGCTTCCTTACAGCTTTTATATTTTGTCCTTTTGCAACTTTATATGTTGTCCTTTTGCTACTTCCTTCATAGAATATAGTAGACCTCCCCAGATGTGAACCTGAATTTATACGGTGGCTTCTTGGCAGCCCAGTGCTGTGTATGACCAGATGTTGTTGTAATAAAGTGACAGTCATGAGAAAAGCACACGTTGTCTCTGGATGGGGGGATGATGTAACTGTAAGCGATGCCGCCCTAATTCTGCTTCATTCTGCTTCGGTCTGTTCACCTGCTTCTAGTCCTCGGATTCTTCTCTTACGTATCGTCTGGTTTTTGATAAACCTATTTTTATCTTGTCTGTTCACTGTTGCTAGGAGTGGAGGAGAGTCAGACCTGTATTAGGAGATGCACCCCCTTGTTTAATAATGCATAAGTAGGATGAATGAGCCATGGAGGAAATTTCCTGCCTGTGACTGGAGCTGCTCCTCACCTTCTCCTCACTGCTCCTCCGTGTCTGTCTAATTGCCTCAGTTTACATTCTTATACAACTGATCTGCGCTGCTGCACCAGAGAATTGATTTACAGTAAGATTTGTTGCTCAGAGCTTTGTTATGACAGACTCTAGGAGTGAGGAGGAGTGTGGAGACAGAATTCTGTGCTCAGGTTACAGAACACCAAAAACAAAACTTTTGAACTTTCCATCCACAGCCGCCCCACCCAAGAGACAGGCCCTGAGACTCCCCACAGCAAAGGATGTCGTTGGACTTTGTATTATCAAAAAAAGGAGCAATAACACTTTCAGAGAATAATTTTGTCAGACAGAATGGTGTTGATGGACAGACGTGGGTCCAGGCTCAGACAGTCCTCTGTTTTTATCATGGCCCAGGCAGCTTTCCTTGTCTCATTCTGATTCCATTTAGTCACGCTATGTGCTGGCCTAACCTATGCCTGGCCCTGTGCAGAGAGCAGAAGGCTCTCATTTCAGCTCTGGCAGGGAGAGTGGCGATGAGCTCATCCTAATGAAGGAGCTGGACATGGTGGGCGATGCACTTGAAGGCTTGTTAGGGTTGGGAGGGAGAGAAGCAGTGAGGGCCCGGGGAAACAGATGCTGCATTGAGGATGAGCATCTTGGGAGTTAATGTGAGGTAAAGTTGATTCAAGTTATTGTTTTGTGATGATAGCAGTAAGCGTATTGCCAGTACCGCTAGATTAGCATTGTCTCATTAAACAGACAAATAAATTCCGTGGCTTTAGGAGGTTGAACTAACTGTCCTATGATAATATGGAAGTTGACATCCTCAGAGAAAAGTGTAATTTTAAAACAAGTAGAAAGACACTATCAATGTCAATGTGCTAAACTGAAACTGAATGAGCAGACATGGCATCCCATAGTAAATTACTTTTCCACTCACATTCATTCATTCATTTATTCACTTTCTATTGTTTAATCTTTTTTGTAGGAGGTCAACAGGACAACAGGTGGGTGGGGTTACACATTGAAGAACAGTCCAAACAGAAACCTCAGGGATTTTACCCATGAATCTTTGACCTTACTGAAAGGCAACACACTGACCACATGTCCAGACAGATTCAGTTGTGTCTAAACAAAGCAGCACAATTAAACCAAGGTGATACTCTGGCTGCTGTTGATCCATCTCCAGTGGACACAAGAACTATGATCCACATATCTCTCTTCAGGCCTGGACCCAAAGTAGCTGGATTAACTCTGATGTATAAAAATAGACATCTTGAGCAGTTATTCACTTCACTACTAACTTCAAATATTTTAACCATTTACAGACATGGAAAAAGCTAAGAAGTAGAAGTAGTAAGTAGAAAAATCCACTCTTTTTCTTCACACAAAAAATGCAAGAGTATGCAAGTTGACTTCCAAAAGTGGGTTAGTGCGATAGAGACGTGGGCAGCTGGAGGGTTAGGTATCTGCAGCAGGGCATCTATGGAGGAGCCAAGTGAATTACTGATTGCAGAGAGCCTTAATAGCCCCAGACTGGCTACACTCCATTAAAGTCATTTCACACAGCAGCTTTTATGACCTCCTCCCTTCACTAACGCACGCACCACAATGTACTGCCGTGAACGACAAGAGCACCTCCACAATCTCAGTTAAACATTAGCACAAAAAGATCATTTTCCAGTGTTGAAAACTGAGATATCCCATTTTAGAGCAACATCTGCACATGCAGTTATTTTGTGTAATTTCTGCAAAGTGTTGGTCCATTCACACCAATAAAAACTGGGTGAAAATGTTTGCTCATATGAATGGTTGTCTGTCACGCTAAGCTGTAGACAGGTTAAAGAAGGAAAAAAAGTCACTGACCATGATGGTCTGCATGCCATGAATTGTAGATCCCCAGTTAATTGGTTAAATGTCACAGGTAACACATAAATCCATCAGCACCTCCCCGTGCTGAATTGTCTGCTTCTGTCACTGAATCATAGAATATGTTTCACTGTGTTTCAGAGTGAAGGTAGATCTACATCTTTAAGTAAAAAAAGGTGTGCTGTAGACAACTTGACAGAACTTCTTGTTTACTTGCTTTTTGGACCATAGACTGGACACCAGACGGGCTGAGAACCATCTCCCATCAAGCCATGTTTGAGGAACTGAATATGTGTGTGTGTGTTTTTTTACTCTGGTTTAGGGATAAGATTAGGGAAAATAAATACAATATTGTCACCATCCCAAACTCTAGGTCTGCTCAGCTGAGGCTGCATGACCCTTGAACTTGTTGGGTCTTCACATCCAGCTGTCTGACAGTCAAAACACCAACAGATTGGGACTGATCTTTTTAGAGGGTTGGAGGTTGTTATATGAGCTAGTGAAATTTGCAGTTAACCACGATGAGAAAGATTTGCCCTCATTCTTACCTGAATTTTCTTCCACCTCCCGTTCGTCAGTGCACACCCCTTGGCCATGCATCAGTGAGTGCAGTGGTCTCTCCACACCCCGAGGCGGGTAGCAACGGAGGCCTGTACCACAACGTGGTGAGTAGACACCACAGTGTGTACCTTTTGGCAGGGCACAGGTGGGGCAACAGCCACAGCCAGGCTCCCGCACGGTCTCCTCACAGCTTTCAGGTAGACGACACCTGGCCAGCCTCTCCTCGGAGCAAACTGGGCAGCGAATGGCCTGGTCCGACAAACACAGAGCCACCAGGGACAGGGTGCTGAACACCCACAAGCCCCTGTAAGATTGAGCTGCAGCCATGCAACCTCCTCGCACCACAGCAGCTCTAGCACCTGCACACAGTCCTTTTCCTCTGGAGACGTTCTCTCTCTGTGTCCCTGCTTTCAGGAGTAGATCCCAGACCAACAATGGAAGACCGCTTTGTCCAGGATGGTCTTTGATATTTTCAAATGCTTAGTCTTTCATTTGCAGGGGCACAATGTGCCTGCTGTGTTGCCTCTGTCTCAAACCTCTGATTCAATTTCACAGCGCAGAAATTGGAGCTTGCTCTTGATCTGGTCCACTGGCAAATGTACTCGGATTTGTTCAGTTGGAAATGACTAGTTGCAGAACGATATCCACCGGTGTGCTCAGGTACAACTTGCTCCGTCTTCGGATCCAAAGACCAGTTTGCCAGCTCTCTGATCAAACAACAAATAGAAATCTGGTCTGCATTTGCTCAAATGTAAAAGCAGGTCATGTGAAGGCAGTGTCTGAAGTAAGAGCTGCACGTTCCTCCTTCTCTTCCTTGTGTGTAGTGCAAAGGACTCAGTCCTGAGAATGGCTCAACACGAGTGACTCTCCTTGGACTTTATACTGGTCCATGGACACGCCTCTTTCTACAGAGAGACAGAGAAGCTCAAAGGCACAGCGGAGGGAAGCTTTCTCCCTCTGTCTTTATTTTCTCTCTGTCTCTCTCCTACTCAAACACTCTCTCTCTCACTATTCCTCTGTCATTCCTCACTGAGCAAAGGAATCAATGAATCTAACGTGCAGATTAATTTTTTTCTCCTGAAACAAGGCAGTATTTTCTCCTTATCAAAATTTGAACATTAAAATAAAATAAAAATCCATTTGGCAGTTGTAATTTTTCCTAAATGCAACATCTTTGTTCGTACCAAGATTGGAAAAAAACAAACAAAAAAACCCCCCCAAACACACCGGTCTTGTTACTCTTTAATTAACCCCGAATGCCCAGTGCACATGTTTTTGCCTCCAGGGCTAAAACACTGTTTGAACAGCATAACAACCTCTTAGCCGCTCCTTTAACAGGGTCCTAGTCTGGGTCTGTGCAAGTGTGTGCATGTTTGCGTGCATGGGTGTGTGTCTAGGGTCCAAACCCCCACTCCTCCACCCCCTCCGTCCACCCACAATTATGTT